TTCTATATTAATACTATATCTAAAATATTTATTTCTATTTTAAATTAATACTAAGTAAATATTTAATTAATGCTATAGTCTATAATACTAAAGAATAAGTATTGAAAATACTATTGAGAATATCGTGGAGTACATTTAAGATAGAACTTGGGTCTGTTAGTTACAGTAATATAGTACGTCTTGTAGTAAAATCTTTGGATTGCCGGACCGGTCTCTATTAATATATATTTATGGAGATGGGGTACAGGTGAGCAGGGAAAGAAGATTTAATATTAGACAAAGGATCTGATCCTATTCTGCGATCATTCAGGAGGTTCAACGAAAGGGCTTTCTGGAAGCCATTGTGCTTGACTAAGGAGCTGCGAGGAGAAGAACAAGAGCTCACAACGTCCCCATCAGGATAAACATCCCCACCAGGAAAAGCCAACGTACCACAACATTATCCAACGTGCTCCGAGTGCCCCGCTTATTCTAAAGGAAGACGGGATTGGGTGGGCTGGGTTATCAACGAGAAGCAGTTGCCGAGCTTACGAGGTACTTGTAGTGGTCCAGCCCCTGCATAAAATGATACATGCGTTGCTGCATACTGTCGGCCAGCATATTTATATTTGTGTTTATATACGGTCGTCCAGTAGCCATCCCTCAATAGCGCCCCACTTATTAGGGGAGATGTCCTACGCTACCGTACTCACCCTTAACATCTATCTCGACCGTAGGCATAAAATAGTCGCCAGCTGCGTCGTAATTCATGTACCATTGCAGGACAAGATGTAGAGAACATGAGCATCTTCATATCGAGCGACTTCTATCTTTCAACGTCAAGATGGATGTCAGAGGTGACTGGCCTCTTTTCCTGCATGCCCTACTAGGGGTATATATATTGTTGGTCCAGAGCGGACACCGATGTATATATCCATTCTGCCTTGAAACTGAAAATAATCAGGTACTACTGCGCGATACGTTACACTCTCCGCTGCCTGCATATGATAGACTCAAATTCGCTAGTTCACAAAACATATCGGAAGGAAGGAATCTCCCAGTCCGTCTTATCCTCATGGTCGGATACCATGCTCTCTTCGCCATTCGGCTGCCGGCCACGCCGTGCGTTCGCCCACATCAGGTACACCCGCAGCAATGCGATGAAAAACGCCCCCAGACAGAACCCAGCGAGACTGGCCCGGATGCCTTTGGGGTAGTTCGGTGCGTCCCGGACGTTGAAGAACTGTGGGCCGACGACATTTCCCGCACAATACATGACCAGCACACATGCATTGACGGTGGCCTTCTTGGTCATTCCGCCCACATTGCTCGTAACCAGCGACAAAGAGATGGGCATACTGGCCGAAAAGGCGAGACTGAGACAAAATCCGGCCAAGCGGCCGGATTGATTGTTCTCATCCAGCGCATACATCAGCACCATGCCTATCATGCTGATGACGGCGAAACAGAAGACGACGATGGTCCGCAGATCTCGGAAGTACGAGCATAGGACGGCGCCAACGATAATAAAGCCCAACTGAGCTGCACCGGTCGGCATTTGGATGAGTAGGGCTTGGATCCCCTCGTAGCCAAATCCCTGGATCACAAGAGAGCCGAAAGAAGTCAAACCGCCATTTGCGATATTGACGCTGAATGAGTAGAGCGAGAGGCACCAAGTCACTGGGTCCTTGAAAGCTTCCACTACCTGGTAGGGTTTGTAGCCGCCGCCCCGGGCTTCCTGCGCGGGTTCCAGCACACGGTATGCTGCAACTTGTCGCTGGGCCTTTCGCAACCACAGGGCGTTGTTGGTGCTGTCTGGAAGAAGGACAACCATCACCGTACCCCAGAAGGCGGTGATCCCACCAAATATAAGGAACAGGTATTGCCATGCGGCAAGAGCACCCTTGAGATGCCCAATCCCATATGCGGCCAGGCCGCCAAAGAGACTCGCTACAGCAGATCCGGCGAACCAGAGTCCGTAGCGAAGTGGCTGCTCTTTGCGTGTATACCATTTTCCCGTGATCAGCGAGAACCCCGGAGCGATGGATGCTTCCAACGCTCCGAGAAAGAAACGAGTGACCATGAGGCTAGCGAAGCTGCGGCATGCCGCATGACACATGAGGACGGCCGCCCAGAGGATTCTGAAAGCAGAAAAGGGGGGTTAGCATGCATTCTACAAGCTGAGATAGGTCTAGGGCCACCTACACGGTGCAGCTGAGGTACTTCCCAATCGGCAATCGGACCGAAAGATACACCGTCGGATAGGACCAGAAGATGAAGCCGAAGTAGAAGATCGAGGCGGTCCACGAAAACTGGCGGTCAACCAGCTGGACGTCCTCCAGGATCCCCAGTAAGGATGCGTAGCTTAGGGTCTGCTTGTCCAGGAACTGGAGCATGTAGCAAACACCTAGCAACGGAAGCAGCACACAGTCAATCTTCCAGCGGACTTTCCGTGCTTCAGAGGCTGCGAGATCCGCTACATTTCCCATCTGCACTACTGATAGCTGCTCCCCCTGTTGCTGGTCTTTTGTCTCCTTGCAATCCTCAGGAAAGTCTGCGGCGGAAGCCATCGCGAGGAGCAAATGTATAGATCGTATGAGATCGGGATGCACGAAGCATGCAAAGAATATACAAGGCCAATCGGCACTGGTGAACACCAGCTACATTTATAGATAGTACTTGGCCCTGACACAAACATGTTCCTCATACGAGTGTGCGGGGGGTTCGGCTTCCATCGCGCTGCCTAATACCGGGGGTGCGCACCCCGGGGGACAGTCCAGGGAAGTACGCACTGACCCCACCGCGTTAATCGATATGACAGGCTGCATTCTGCTGGCTGGCTCCACTGGACCGGCCCGGATACAGACCTGGAATCTGGGGGGTCGGAGCTCAGGATCGCACCGTATGGCTTATCTCCCCGTGCGGGGGACGTTGGCCATGCGGTCTCTTGGTTCGGTAGGTGCTACAGAGCATAGTTATCTTGGGTGGATCGAACTAGCAAAGCTAAAGCGAGCTTCTGGTTTTCATTGGTGCCCGGCAGTAGCGGAATCTATACGTTTGCTCTCCTATCTAATTAACGGCCTGCTCGTGCGCCTCCTTGACCCTCGCAGAGAACGAGTCGTCCGTCAAGAAGGCCCAGCCGGTCATGGCCATCGCGGCTGCAGCTTTCAGAATGATCCGGTAGGCAGCCGGCTCGCCCGAGGCTACGCAGAATTCGTGTGTATGATTTTGGGCGCCGTTGGAAACCGGGATGCCAATGATCGCATGGAGCGCCGGGAGGGCATAGCTCACATTTCCTTGGTCAGTCGACCCCGTCATCACCTCCTCCGCCTCCAGCAACAGCCTCTCTCCTTGCTCTTGCATAGACCGGCAGTACTCTGCACACAAAGGGGGGTTTACGAGTAGGTCGGCGTATGCGGGGGTGTCCTCGAAGGACGCATGGCACCCGGTTGCGAGCGCTCCAGCTTGTAAGCAGTGACGTACGCGGTTACTAAGAGCTGCCAGACTCCTAATTGTGGGGCTTCGAACAGAGAACTTTGCCACTGTCTTCTCCGGTATCGCATTGGTAATTTTCGGAGCCTCCAGAATCGTCCCATGGATTCGTTCCTGTGGTTGTATCTGCTGGCGCAGAGCGGAGATATTCATGTACGCTGTGACAAAGGCATCCAGGGCATTCACCCCCTCCCAAGGATTAGCGCCTGCATGGGCACTCACTCCGGTATATGTGCACACCAGATCGACACAAGCGATGGACCTTTGGCCAGCAGCGCCAATGACACCGCGATCCCGAAAGCTGGATTGGGCCATGGGATGCCTGCACCGTTCTTCGATCAGAACACCATACTTGGTAGGACAGGGCGGCCAGTCACTTACACCATCAATGAGAGGTCGGCCTTCTCGTACGCGCCGTGCTTCAACAGGTCGATCTTGCCGCCGCCATCCTCCTCGGCCGGGGTCCCCAGTAGTTGAACTCGACCCGGAACCGCAAACTCTGCGAGAGCGTGTCTCAGGGCGAGGAAGGCTGCTACACTCGCGGTAGCAATGAGGTTATGCCCGCACGCATGTCCGATTCCGGGCAACGCATCGAGCTCGGCATTGAGGTTGACGCAGCGTCCCCCCGAGCCACCTGTCGCCTCAAAGCAGGTGGCTAACCCGTACGCACTGCGAGTCACCGGCACGCCCAAGTTTTCCAGAAATGTACTGATAGTATCATGCGCGTACTTTTCCTCGTAGGCAAGCTCGGGGTTGCTGTGTATCTGGGCAAGAAGTTTGGATGTCAGGTTGGCGGGACCGCAACAGGAGAATGCGCTTACATTGAGGTTGACTTGTCGCAACAAGTCGTCTACGCCAGCGAGATACTCACTGATCACGCGCTTGACTTGATCCCGGGGGTATTCCATAGTGCGAACAGTCTGCCAACAATACAATTCAAATGTAGGTTCGGGGGGCAAACCAGCTGAGCCCGTTGGAAAATGGCCGTTATATGCGTGCGCTCAACGAGGTACTATCGGAGACGTGGTGGACCCCCAAGCATGTGTGCGGCGAGATGAACACGCGGCATGCGGGGATCCATCCTACACTCTACAGACGACGGGGATCTCCTCTATCCCGACAGGCCTCGTGTACTGCGAGTGATCCGTAGTTGAAGGCTAATTCATGCTAATTCATATCAGGCACAGTGGGACCGCGCAAAACGATATGATTGGCCCATGGGCCGATGCGGTCATACAGCTCGGTTGCCCTAGCTAAGACCTCAGCCATGCTCTGCCTCCCAGTTCTGACCCTATAAAATCCCTGGAAGCAATCGCTCGATATGCTTGACATGCAATTCAAGAGGGACGCGTGCTACCATCCTTGCCAAAGTTCGTTTCTAAAGTTCAAACACCCAAATCCAAGGCTCCAACCTGAAACCGGCACCCCATCCGACATGACGAATACAACGTGGGAGCAAAAGGCCAAGAGCAAGCAAGCTCAGACTGCAGCAGCAATTCCACCAGAGTGGACTTTGCCAGCCGCTGTGCTTCTCAACTCGGCGGCGAACGTCCTCGACGTCCCCAGAACCTGTGGGCTCCTGACCGAGAAAGAAATCCACATCACCGAGGACTACGATGCCACAGGACTACTGGAAAAGTTGGCTACTGGAGAGTTCAGCTCCGTCGAGGTCACAACAGCATTCTGCAAGCGGGCCGCCATTGCGCAGCAGTTGACCTGCTGCTTGACGGAGATGTTCTTCGACAAAGCTCTAGTCAGAGCAAAGCAGCTCGACGAAACCTTTGCGCGAACCGGGACAACAACAGGGCCACTGCATGGACTACCCATTAGCATCAAGGAGTCATTCAATGTACCCGGCGTTCCGACTACGCTTGGGTTCATCGGATTCCTCGACCGGGCGGCAGCGTCCACGAGCTCTGCGTTGGTTGAAATCCTGAATAACTCCGGGGCTGTACTCTATGTCAAGACCAATATCCCGCAGACAATGATGACTCCCGACTCCCATAACAATGTCTTCGGTCGTGTTCTCAACCCGCACGGCCGGAGCCTAACCGCTGGGGGCAGCAGCGGCGGAGAGGGAGCGTTGGTGGCGATGAGAGGCTCCATCCTCGGCGTTGGGACAGACATCGCTGGCTCCATCCGCATCCCCGCCCTCTGTTGTGGCGTATTTGGATTCAAACCCACAGCTTGCCGTGTTCCATATGCAGGTCAAACATCGGCCGGGCGGCCTGGGATGACGGGCATCTTCCCGTCCGCCGGGCCCTTGTGCCATTCGATCCGCGATGCAGAACTGTTTCTCAGGGTCGTCCTCAACTCGAGGCCGGCCGATCTGGACGACCTCGCACTCGACGTTCCATGGTCTCCTGCTCCGCCAAAGGAAACGCTTACAATTGGGCTCCTGCCCGAGGACCCGTCGCTCCCGCTCCATCCACCGATGCGACGGACCCTCGACGCCGCAGTGAAGGCGCTGACGGCAGCCGGCCACCGGGTCATCGACCTCTCAGCACAGGCTCCGTCCTTGTCCAGTGCGTGTTCTCTGGCATTGCGGTATTTCGGCCTGGACCCGGACCGCACTGCCCTGCGCCACATCACTCAGGCGGGGGAACCATTCATTCCCTCGCTCAAGTTCACGTATGACCTCAATGAGCCCACACAGGAGCCCACATTGCGGGATCTATTTGATTTGAATGTCGCCCGTGGTCAGTTCGCAGCCCAGGCACGCAAGCTCTTTGTTGAAAATCAACTCGATCTGTTGCTGGGCACGGCATATCAAAGCACATCGGTTCCCCACGATACCTACGGTCTTCCGACCTATACCGTGCTTTGGAACCTGGTTAACGTGAGTATTCGCCCCGCTTCTTCTCTGTGTCAAGTTCATGGGGGGGCCCGCTAATGACACACTAGTATCCGGCGTGCGTTCTTCCATTTGGTCAGGCCGATAAGGCAGCGGACGAAGCGTATAGGCGCGATGTCACTTATGTGCCCGACTGTAAGTTGCGCCTCTCAATTGGTTTCGCTTGACCTAACGACTGTAGATCGGCCAGAGGAAATCGACGGCGCACCCTGTCACATCCATCTGATAGGCAGGCCGATGGCGGACGAAAGGTTGGTCCAGGATGCGGCGACTGTAAGCACCGCCATCAAAGCAGCGATCAATCTCTGACCTCCTAAGGGTGTCTTTCCATGAGATAAGCCTGGAACCGGTGTCCCATAGTTAGATGAATAGGTCTTTGCTTTTGGAACCTTATGAGTTGTAATACACACATACAAACAACCCAATTGTCTCAAAGTAGAATCCTGGAGCGCTCAGTCTTCCTTGAGCAGGGTCTGCAGCTGCCTTGCCATAACTTGTCCACGATCAGAGTCACTATACTGAGCTCCTGATCTCCAGACTTTCTCCAGGCGGTAGTGTGCCAGAGAAATAGGCCCGCCTTGCCGGGTGTTTGATACCTGTAAAAGCTTGGCTTGGACGATCTGCTTCTCTTCTTGTAGGACGGCCACTGAGCCCACGACTAATAGTGGCCACAGATAGTAGAACGAAAACCACTCGTCAACAACCAATGACGTAATGGTCTCCAGGCCTCGTAAAAGATACAATTCCATCGACTGAACCCAGTCGACCATGGAGCACCTGGGATCTGTATATACCAGTAGAATTCGGATCGCCACAGCATAGAGCCTTCCGACGTGGTTCTCTGGATTGGACGTTTGTTGGTTGTCGATCGTCTTCTCCCAATGAACCACCATATCTTGTAATCGAGACCACGTCTCAAACTCAGCAATGGTGGTCAAGGGAGATGATTGAGCCAGCTTAGTAACATCAAGAACCAGAAGAAAGAATTTATAGGACGCATCCAGAACCGGCTGGGTGGACGTCAGGGTCCCTGGGGGGATGTCGTCTGGGTGATCTGGGTCGGAAAAATAGCCCTCCAGATTTAATTCGCCCTTGATAAGAGGCAGGCAGTCGACTGAAGGATCAAACAGCGTGAGAAGAGCGGCGTGGTACAGGAATGATTCTACGCAAATGCGTTCAAAGACAATAGCCTCTTGGGAGGCGTTTCGTGGTTTAGGCCTGCGAAGGGACAACATCTGGCCTGAGGCCAACACATGAGACCTGGCATTCGGCATCGCATCGCAACGAGAGTTCTTTGATGCAGTGTTTAGCCAGGGCACGGAAGGCAGCAATGGTTTCGAAGGGGGGCGCCTACTTCAAAAAGACACAACAAGGTGGTCGTGGCCAGAAGCCAATCCTCAGTACCGGTATGTCGTCCTTCCATTAGAGCCGTCTTTATGCTTGTTATAGCAAATAGGTAGCTTTGTAAAGCCAGTGATTGGAGATTGGATGATTGCGACGACATCTTCATTCCAGTGAGAGCAATTAGGGCCCCCATGAGAGGGGGGTGAGCCAGGGCCAGGCGGGCGATGTGGAAGTCTTGGGAATACCTAGATAACGAAGTCTGCCGGACAAGTTTGGGTGACATGAAGTGCCTAAAGTACCGGTAGATCCGCAGATGCTCGGTCTTGTGAAACGGCTCCGGCATGCTGACAGGCGGCGGGAGAGACCGTCCTGGACGGCCATCAGACACCATGACCGTGGTCATTGTGTGAGCTCCGTCGTCTGCACTGGTGGTGGTTGTTCCTGAAGCCAAGGAAGATAACCCTTGCTGGGAGTCAGACGTTTTTCGATGCCTTCGTCGGTCCACAGTCTGGCTCTCGGTGGGCCATCGACATTCGAAATCATTTCGAGTACAGCCTCCGCATCGGGGACGTTTCTCATCACACTTCTTTCGGCGCCGCCGACCTACATGTTGTTAACACGCGCTGCCCCTCAAAGTTGGGGTTTGGCCTTACATTCGCCACATCCACTTTTCGTTCTCAACCGAGCACCCGAGCTCAGGAGACGGTCCTGGCCAAGTTGACCGTCCAAATGCAGCATTGTCACACACAATACCAGCTTTGTAATTCGTCAAATTGGTCGGCGGCAATCAACCATGAAGGGAGCGTGATCGATGTTGGCCACAAACTCAAGTAAGAGCAAGAAGAAACAAATGATATGCGGCCGGCTACGGGAGACCACAAGAACCAGGATCGCCGATCTTGGTGCTATTGGTCACTAACCTGCCCTAACTATCGGCAAAAGACTGGGATAAAAACCTTTGGCTCTATTCTACGCTCAAATATATACGCTTGATTCGGGCAGGCAGGCAGGCACCGTGAGAATATATTATCAAAATACAATACAGTGTACGGTTGTATTAATAAATATATCAGTCGTATTTAATAACCTCGTAAAAATCACTATCAAATGTCTAAGACGATTTGACTGTTTTTAAAGAGCCTAGGCCAGTTTTAGAGAATGGGGAATGCCCAACCATCCTTCGATTATAGCTATTGCGAGTATCTGATGGTCATAGTTGGATTAGATTCACTATGCACGCATGAGAGATATCGTCGCCCCGAATTCCACCTGGGTCAGCCATGAACTGCCCAAGGGTCGACACTGAATGCGCAATGTCATGATGAACCTGCACAATGCAACTGCTGCAGTGAAGACGGAGATCTGTGGTCTGGACCGGACAGGTGCGAAAGATGGTATCATAGAATGATAAAATGGGCAGCCTGACGGCGGTTGTTGGAACCCCCCACAGGATAGGAGCAGCAATAAACAGGTACAAATGAAGAGAGCCAGGGTTTTTACTGATAGAAACCACAAGAATCAAGCGGCTTGTGTTGGTGGGGGCGCAGCGAGCAGAGACTATCGGAGGTGAGTCTAATGATCCTTGTAGCAGGTACCAAAACCCTACTCTAGTCAAGCATAGTAAGCACTAGCAAAGCCTATAAATGCCGCGGTCGCAGCCCGTTGGATCAGAGAGCATCCACGCTCCCCCCCTTAGACAAAAGGTCGAACGCAAGTATTCTTATTTTCTTTACTCGGTTTCTCTCACCACCTCAGAGATAATGGCGTCTCAGCTTGACATGCCTTCAGAGGCAGACTATGTGATTCTCGGAGGGGGGCATCCGGACTAGTGCTCGCTGCTCGATTATCCGAGGGAAATGCCTCCCACTCTGTGATTGTTCTTGAGGCTGGGAAGAACCTCATCCAGGACCCTCGAGTTCAGACCCCTGCCCTCTGGACCACTCTAATGGGGCCTGAAGTGGATTGGCAGTTTCAAACCACGCCGCAGGTAAGTCTGCCCAAGCGTCGCGTGTCACACCGGACGATCATACAGCTGCTAATGTTTGCTATCTTAGGCGACCGAGTCATCAAGGAAACGCTGGGCAAGCTGCTTGGTGGCTCATCCGGCATCAACGGCCAGGCCTTTGTAGCACCTACGAAGGCGGGAATTGATGGCTGGGCAAAGCTGGGCGCCACCAGTTGGACCTGGGAAACTCTGTTCCCATACTATAAAAATGCCTTCGCGCTACAGCTTCCAGATGAAGCCACCCGTGACCATATCGGGATAACCTGGGTCCAAAGGTCAATGGAGACTCGGGTCCGATCAAGGTCTCTTTTCCCGCTGTGCGACAAGATCCACTCTCCAAGGCCTGGGTCGACACCTTTCAAGAGATAGGATATGGAGTCACAGCTGATCCATCCTCGGGAGTCTCTATCGGTGGTTACTCCAACCTCGCGGCCGTCGATGCAGAGACAAAGACACGAAGTTATGCAGCGACCGATCGTCCGTACTATCACAGATGCAGTCGCTCATCGAATAATTCTTTCCCAAGGAGAGTCCAGGGCAACGGCCACCGGGGTGGAAGCGAATGTCCAAGGGCAAACGATCGTCATTAAAGCCAAGAAGGAGGTTATCCTTACTGCCGGCGCGCTCAACACTCCGAAGCTGCTCGAGCTGTCTGGCATCGGAAACAGAGCCATTCCCGACCAGTTCAATACCCCTGTAGTGATCGACAACCCTAATATCGGTGAGAATCTCCAGGATCATCTCATGAGTGGGATCAGCTTTGAGGTGAAGCCGGGGGTTGTGACCGGTGATCCACTGCTGTGAGAGGAGCCAGACGCGATTCAGACTGTGATGCAACTCTACGCAGAGCACAAAGCAGGGCCTATGACCATAGGAGGAGTGCAATCCTGTGCCTACATGCCTATGATTGACTATCGTGGGCAACAGGAAGCTAAGCGGGCCCATCTCGATAGTTTCCTCGCCCACCCAGACGATCGGGAGAAAGTGATTCGAGACATTTATGCGGAGCGGGATACACCTACCTGCTCGATGTTTATGTTCCTTGCTCAGGCGAACCTTCATCAAACCGGGAAGAGCTTCGTTGGCCAGGAGCTTCTGCCTGGAAACTTTCTGAGCCTGGGCCTCTCCCAAAGTCTTCCTTTCTCTCGCGGAACAGTGCACATTGTCTCTTTGGACCCAAATGAGCCCCCAATAATCGATCCTCGCTACTTCTCAAACCCATTAGACTTGGATATTATGGCCCGTAATCTATTGGACGTGGAACGACTCCACGGTCTGAAGCCTATTTCCGATTATCTAGTAGTTGACGGGTGACGGAATCACCCTGACGCTTTCCTCACCGATCTTGAATCAGCAAAAAAGTATCTCCGCGATACAGCCACTACTAGCTGCCATTCCAGTGGTACAGCGGCTATGCTTCCTCGGGAGAAAGGAGGGGTGGTAGATAAGAATTTGCGTGTCTATGGCACCACGAACCTGCGTGTCTGTGACGCCAGTATCTTTCCTCTGATTCCTGCAGCGAACATCATGTCTACGGTGTATGCTGTGGCAGAGAGAGCAGCGGATATCATCAGAACCGATGCGTAACTCATGTCAATCTTCCCCTATCCTCTCAAAATACGGCTTATTTTTCTTATTTGTCTGTGACTTTGTGTGGAGCGTTGAATGGCAGTTACATGTCCTATAAAACGGGACACTAGTTGCCAAATATAGTTCCAATTGATACCTTTATGAGCCGTGTCCTGTATCTACTGTAGAATAAGATCAATTGAGGGAAGAAACTATATTAAACGATATCCCAGTACCTGCGGATGCAATCGGAGTCTCGGCGCAAGCCTAATACCGATATCTTATTATACGATCATCCCTGCACCTGCTTTGACATAAGCCCTAGAAACGGCCACTAAACGGCCTATATGAATCTATTCCCCTAGCCACCCAAGACGCGGTGCTTAGGGCCTTTGTTCCCTTCTCAGCCACTAGCCAACCTTGGTTTGTCCATTCAGCCGGCTTTTCCTAATTCCCCTCCCCTAACATGCCCCTTCCTTCTTCTTTTTCTTCTTCTTCGTCGGCGTCTTGGTCTTGGTTTTATCATCTTCTTCTCATCTTCTGTCTTTCTTACTCCTAATGCAAGTCCCTAACATCCAGCGCGAAGACCTCGGCGGCCGCATCGCCATCGCTTTGGCGGCGGTCTGCCTCACCTCATTCCTCTACAAGATGATCAAGGTGCGCCTGCGCTTTTATCGCCTCAGGCGACAGGGGATGGTACGTGACTATCCCTACTATCCATGGAATTTGAATAACCATTAGTAGCCAATGCCTCCCTGGGATCCTATCTTCGGAAATCTACGACTCATGCCGGGTCTCGCCAGAAAGTGTCCCAGTGATGCCTTACAATCCCAGTCATTTGCCCTTCTCTCGATGGAGCACCCAGCCTGCAAAACGGCTTCTATATCGATCTCTGGCCATTTATGTGCCCAATGTTCGTCACTACTACCCCGCCTCTCGCCGTACAGGCCTGCCAGACCTATAATTTGCCCAAGCCGACCGATCTCCTGGCCCCATTCATCAACTATGACGGGCGGAGATAACTTCTTTACGACCAATGGGGCAGAGTGGAAGCATGATCGTGATCTGTTCAACCATGTTTTTAGCATGACGGCGACGTTCGGCCACGTGGATTATATTCTGGAAGAAGCAGAGGTCTATGTCGGGATTCTCTGCGAACTCGCCCAGAGTGGTGACACCTTCTCGATGGACCAGCTTGCCTGTAATTATATGATGGATGTCATTGGTAATATCACATTGTAATAAGCTCTTTTCTGACGTGATGCTTGAACACAGTCACTGACAGACCCGACAGGAATACGCGCTTCAACTACCAGACTGGACACAACCCCATCGCTGCATCAATGCGTGACACCATTGACCTGGAATGCGGACGTGAAGGGGAGAACAACCCTTTTCGACGCTGGAACTTCTACCGGTTGTATCGTCAATGGTGTAATAGCCGTACCATGGATCGCTACATCGGTCTGGAGCTTGAAAAGCGCTATCAGGAATGGTTGCAGCATGACCAGACCACGACCCGGGGTAAATCTATCATGGACATCGTCATTGCTGAGTATATGAAGACCCGACCCACGAGCCAAACCTATAACTCGACCCTGGACCCGGAGTTTAAGTCCTGGGCCGTTATACAAATCCGCCTTTTTCTTTTCGTCGGACACGACTCCACTGCTGTAACTATTATCTACTGCCTCTACCTTCTCTCAAAACATCCCGAGACTCTTGCCAAGATCCGTCTGGAACATGAGCAGATGTTTAGTTCCAAGACTAGCGTTGCAACGCAGATTAAACAGCATCCCGAGATGATCAACCAAATGCCTTATACCCACGCCGTTATTAAAGAGACGCTCCGTCTCTTTCCACCAGCCAATGGCCTCCGATTTGGTCGCCCGGGTGTTTCTCTCACTGACACCCACAGTCCAGATGGAAGGCCTTTCCCGGTGGATGGCTGCGCGGTGTGGATTGTACATACCGCCATCCAACGGAACACAGGTTACTGGCCCTATCCGCATAAGTTCATTCCCGATCGCTGGCTTGTCCAGCCTGGGCACGAACTCTATCCACCGACGGGCGGATGGCGGCCCTTCGAGCGCGGGGCGCGAGACTGTGTAGGGCAGAACATGGCATTTCTGGGTATCAAGATTACGCTGGCCATGGTGGTACGGGAGTTCGACTTTGACAGTCAGTACGAGGAGTGGGATCGCGAGAATCCAGGGACCGGGGCAGTGCGGACCATGTTCGGCGAGAGGGCGTATCTGGTGGCCAAGGGAGCGGCGCATCCATCCCAGGGCTACCCATGTAAGGTTCGACTGGCGGCTTGATCGTTTGTTTAGTCTTACGTATAAATTGTATATGTTTGGGAACAGTGTCTGCAACAATCTCCCGTACTGCCCGGAAATAACACTTCCCAGCGCAAGAACAAGATGACCATCCCTCCCTACCAGCCGTAGAAACCATAAGCCAAAACCTCGGGAGAGGTGTTAGGTTACCTCTATTAGGCATTTTGGAGATATCAACCGCTACTTACTTTCGATGTGTCATTTGTTGTCATTTTGAAAGCATCTACTCGACGGGTCAGATGTACGTGTACAAGATGCAATGATACTATAGAAATAACATCTAAAGTCGTGTCTAGAGCCCAATTATTCATGACCATGGCCGCACCACCACGCCCCCTTCCCCATCTCGGCCCGCCTTACAATAGCTCTCCTTGGTCGATGGTAGCTGTGGGCCAGATTAATACGAGGATTGGTCAAGATTGTATCACCATAAATGATAGATAGAAGGCCGAGGAATGGCACACCACGGGCCTGTGATAGAAACAAGCGGTCAAGATCCCTCTGCATACGGTGTACATAGGATAGTCAATTGCAGGACTATATCTATCAGTCGATGACGTTGAATATGAAGTATGGAACTCCCTTGGTCCAACAGGAGGTTGATATGAGCATTTCAGGTGATTATTCATCCCGACCTAAGCTTTATCTAATCCTTACGTGATCCACAGCAAATTAAGCAAATTTAAACTTTAGACCTAACGCGGTCTTAGGCGCCGCTAATTCTTTGACACGTATAATAGCTAGAGATAGGGGTTCTTGAGATTAATTTACAATACAGGTCGTGCTCTCTTCAGCTGGTAGGAGATTGAGCTCTCAAAAATAGCAGCACCTTCGTGGTTCTTTGTAAAGGTCGACGTGGTAGGTGAACATCACCAACAGTCGTGAGGTCATCCAAGGTTTAGGGCCCGAGAATCGCTGACGACAGGCACGTGCAGAGGTTAAATCTATCCATAATTACACCGCGCTTTGTTGACTAACATTCGGCGATCGGGAATACAATAGGAATTTTTGATCCTTTCAACAAGACGTGTATCCTGCCATCATGGATACCACTACCTTTCCAGAAAGTGCCAACATGCCACGTCCTATGCCCGTTATACAGCCCTTCGCCGGAAGGATCGGAGGCAACCAAGCGCTTGTAGTCGACCGCCATGATCCAAGCAATGCGGACCTCTTGAAGAAGACGCCCGATGCGGCGCCGCTGATGACAGTTCGTGAAGGGTTCGACCTGCGCGGATTCTGGGACATTGACCTCTGGAAGTTCGGCTTCGTCGAATGCATGGGTGGGCGCTATCAAGACGGGCATTGAGCCTCCAATTACGGGAAAGCTTACTCAACCCACCAGGTACTATGATGATGGTCTTCGTAACCTCTTGGATGGCCATACGACCACCTTCCGCGTCGGCGAATGTCACTCCGACTTCACCAGCCGGCGTGTACTCTACCGCGGCATTCTTGGGACCAATATTCGGTGGTCTTAGCAATTGGATGTTCCTGACTCTGTTCATTTTCTCTTTTTCGAACGTCAGTGGCAGCCACCTCAACCCGACCATTACTCTGGCCACCTTTTTCGCCCGTTTAATATCACTTCCTCGGATGGTTATTTACCTCCTCGGTCAAACCCTTGGCGGTGCTTTGGCTGGCTTCATGCTTCGAAGCGCCTATGGGTCCAGGGACTTCACCGTAGGAGGTTGTTCAGTGAACACCAGTTTGGTACCTGTAGACGAGGCATTCTTGCTCGAATTTATCTTCTCCTTAGTACTGATTTTCCTCTCTTTCGGTGTTGGCCTGGACCCAAGACAGGGTTCTATCTATGGCGCTGCGCTGTCTCCCTTCCTAGTAGGGATGACTCTGGGCGTTTTGAGTTGGGGCTCCTCCTTCAGCCGCGCTGGCTATGCTGGGGCTTGTGAGTATAGCATAGACACACAACTGTTGGTCAATTTAAAAAGAAAGGATACGCTGACACATTTTCTACATGGCAGCGTTAAACCCGGCCCGATGCTTTGGTGTGTATGTAGCTACCAGCTATCCGGGATACCATTGGATTCACTGGGTATGTACTGAAGATAGACGTATACGTGCATGTCTAACATATTTCTCTTCACAAGGTCGGGCCTCTCGTCGCTTCAGTAGGGCACGGTATTGTCTACTTTATCGCGCCTCCTTGGGGGCATTAAAGGTTGCTTACGACGCAGCCGTGGCGGAAGGTTGAGATATCTATCAACATAAAATACAAGACGGGTGTACATGTATATCCCGTCATTATGATTAATTCAATCCAGTCAGTTGTATGTACAATGTGCAGCTTCAATGATTTACTCTTCTATCCACAACTAGCCTTCTCTTCTTTAACAATTATGTTAAAGCCCTGGTACATATGCTTCTATCAAAGGCGCTCCAGCACAGCCGCAATCACTGATATCCCCCAGCACTATCAGGCAAACTTCCCGTTGTCCGGGATGGGGAGATATGAACAGCCTTTCCAGTCGCATGTATCCTATTTCTTGTCAGTTCCCTGGATCCGCCAAATTCCAATACCAGACTTAAAATAACACTCACCTTATAAACCTTGGTCCCCCACCAATTGAAATGCGATGAAGCCCCCGAGAAAAAGATAGCAAAGAAAATCACCACCCCAGCGACGGAAACAGAGGAATCCAGAGCAGCACTCAGTACGAAATTATACTTATACCACCACGCATACAGACGCCTCCTCACAATCCACCCAAAGGCTAGTCCCACGAGCGCCCAACTTCCATATGTCGTGCCTGTGGCTGGCGGGAGGTAGTTCAGTCCGCCGAGGAACAGGGGAACGTGAATTTTCTGTAAGATGAGGTTCTTCGGATACCGCCGTCTAGCGAAGAACACAGCTACGGGGAGCACAGCGCCGATGATAAAGAAATACAACAGTGAGTGGTATCCAATCTTATTGTTGAAAAAGCGACGCGGTCCGATCGCACCCCAGATCAGACTCGTGTTGAAATGCGTTCGGGAGAACGGACAGCTGAATCCGTTCACTGCGTCCGTTGTGCAGACGCCTTCGATGTTGCCCAGGCCCCAGTTGAGGACGCATACACTGCTTAACGTGCCGGCTATAATGCCTCCACATTGTGCGATGAAGAGTTTTCGTGGCGGGATCTAGCGAATAGGTTAGTTTGGGGTGACTGACTTTCCTAAGAGGCACGAACGTTGAAGTAGATTCCTAATTTCATATCCTGGCAGAAGTAGAGACCCTTGATTGTGGTCACGTAGCCGAGGTTGAAGAACCAGATGTTAGCGAGAACACGGCCCTCGAAGACAAAGCCGGCTACAATTCGGCAGAAGATGTCGATATTGATTTTCTGGTTCGCTGTTGCATAGACCAAGGCAAGCTATGGAGGCAGTGTTAGTGATTCATCCTGCACAGGTCCGGCCCACAGGTGATAGTAACCTACCGGAGAAAAGAAAAATAGAGCAACAGCACACGCCAGCAATGCACCGTACCAACGTAGTTCCACATCCCAATATTCAACGGAAAAGATCGCGAGAAACAACGCCAGGACGGTGGTGCAAAGATACCACCCCATTGGCACTTCCGCGTTCGGTGAATGGTCTGAGGCAAAAAGCTCTTTTATGTTGCCCTTTGCGAATTTGTGTCGTACCCGGCGCATGGCATCCCCAATCTCCTGTCGCTTCTCGAGGAACATCCAGACCACGAGCGAGGTTAGGGTTGCAAATGATAAGCCGAACATATTTAACGCATAGGTGACGGGCATGAAGACCTATGGTAGTTAGCGAGACCGTTTGATGGTGCAAGAGCCCGTTCTAGATAGACCATACCGGTGAGTACGCTTCATATTTAGCCACGTCTAACTGATATCTTGAGGCCTTGTTCACGATCTTCGCAGCCTTGTATGTGCTACCTGTGTTGTCGAACACTATTGGTGTGACCGTTAGAGCCATATTTTGAGGCAAATATTATACACTTTATTGGGTGGTTCATACCGGAAGAACTCTGGAATGGAAGGTATGCGGAGTACCACGTATTAGTATAGTAACAAGCAACAGCGACGATCCAGATCCAGAACACTAGCGCTCCAAAGACATTGATGATAGCCCAGGATGGGACGACGAGGGGAGATCCCACATAGGATATTTGACTCCCTATACGATTGTCAGCGCTATGACACGAAACCTGAATTGGCGCACGCACAATCGAATGTGAGTGGCAAGAGACCCATGCCGCTTTTCATCCCAAACAGCTGGTTGACAACGGTGTTCTTTGGGGCGATCCAGCACGGGAAAGCGAAGTAGCTCAGCGCAGGAAAGATGAAATCTGGAAACCAATACCAGCAGAACGAGATACAGAATACCAAGCTGAAAAAGGCATAACGGGATATCTTCCAGGTTGTGTAGCCGAAGCTTTCACTGCACTCGGTTAGATGCTTCACAGGTAGCATTGGGCCCACTCACATTGCCTGAGCATCCTTCTCTTTTGATCCATGGAGCGTCGATGTGAGCGCTGAGGTGCCCAGGAGTCCCGGCCACACGAGTTCATGAGGCAAAACGACAAGCGATCGAAATATTCCCGCCAGCGACAATCCGACGAAGAAGCCTGCCATTGTCATGAGGATCTGAAATCCCCACCCAGCCTTATAGCCGAAAAACATTTGTTGTTCGGTCAAGACATCTGCCCCAAGACGAACATAGATACTTAAATTCGACATGACGTATACCAGGATGTGCTCCTATCCGTATAACCCGGGTCAGTATCAACATCTTCCATATGATTCGCAAGTATTTACCTTCTTATTAAAAGGACCTGGGTTGAGGTTGAACGACCACGCGCCAAGCGGAACATTCCAACTTGGGATGGCTTTCTCCCAAAGCTTCCCGAGCGGATACGCCAGCAAAAGCACGACTGCCGATGAGATGGTGATGGATGGGTTTCTCAAAGTATACAATGTGTTCAGACCGCTGACAACAATGCAGAATCCAATTCCCAGCACCCACATTCGCATCGTCAGGACGGGCTCTGTTGGATCGTCGTCGTCCGGGTCAATGCCCGCTGCCCGTAAAATCTCGCCAACGGAAGAGTCTATGATGTTTGCCATTAGCAAAAGCGAACCGATGTTAATAGAGTGTAGCGCCTTACTGTCATCTTTCTCCGTGGTGTTTGACTTATCCCCCAGCTCCGGCTCTGGCTGTGCGTTGGCAATCGCTTCCTTGCACTCGACAGCCATGGCTTAAGTTTGGATTTGAATCAAGATCGGGGACATCGGCCGGATCAGATATGATTGATATATTTATCAGATAAGATCTAATCTTAACATGTGGCAGAACTGGAAAGGGGATGAAAAATCCAACGATCGGAACTTCTCGGTGGAAAGGATCTGTCCCTTACACAATCTGTCGGTCAAACTCCGGCGACTCCAGCCTTGTGGGACAACAGGCAGCTCTAGTCTCAGTCCCGAAATTAGATAGGCCGAGTGGGGACATCATATCATCGCATGTTTTGCCTGCCACATGGAATCAGATAAGGGCGAGATCCCCGTCATGTTAGACCTCTCCTACGCTACATGGAATATACGGCTCGGCTGCTTACACAGCTTTCACGCCTTGCAAAGTTGCTTTTTTTTGGTACGCTCTTGTCTAATATTATCATCTGAATCTGTGAGACGCTGTTTCCATGACCGGGTCAGCCCTATACCGAACAAGACTCGGCTAAGCTTTGTAGGGCTGAGGTTGGTCCACGGGTTACCGCATTGGGATGGTTCCGTGGAGAACCGGCAATCAGAGCCATGTTGGTGGACCCGAAGAAATTCTTCTGCCTAGGATGGAGGCATTTATTCCCTCATGCACGGATATTAAGTCCAATCTCGGACCGTGCATTGTGGGAGATATCCTGGTGGTACAGCCAAAGACCATCTCATGACGTTCATACAGTGGAAATAGTTTCGAAACGTCAGTCCTAGGCAGGTGTTGAACAGCGAGAAGCTCAGACAAAGAACAAGATAAATTGGTACAGAAGAGGGGGCGCATGAGTTAGCGGGAACGGGACAAGACCAGGGATTCGTTTTCCAACAGTGGCCGCCAATAATTATCCATGTTAGAGTCATTGATACGACCCTCGTTAGCACTATTGCTGCACTACCCCGGAACTGGAAACAGACCCCGCCTCGGTTGATTGATTAATACGGTTTATCAGATTGTTAGCCCGTTCCCTATAGGTATACCCAAGTAACCCAACTCTGCTCAGGATTCCCCCCAACCACATCTAATCGACAGGGGTATTTTCATATCCCACTTCGGATGAGCGGAATATTGGCGAAGTCACATAATTCTTACGATAGCATCCTATGTAAGACATCTGTCCCGCTAGACTCCGACACTAACAACCATCTGCATCCAGTTTTCTTGTACCGAGCCAGCCGAGTTAAATTCACATCCGGGTTACATAACTAAAATGACAGGTCGTTATTCACACTACCCCTACCGGAGTGATTACAATCGACACACCAGCATGTATCTCAGAAAGGCGTATCGTGAGCCAGGCAACCGAGAGCAACTTATCCACGACGGAAATATTGAAAGCACGGAGAAAGCACGGAGAATAGCTGAATTCTGAATTAAGACAAGACAATAAATATAATCGCACCCCAATGGCGGCTACCGACACCCGATCAAAGAGATGCTCAAGTATTTCCTTAGAAGGCCCAGGTGATTAAGCGCACCGTGTTACGGTGCTACATTTCCTATTCTTCGCCGCAGACCTTCCGGAAGAGAGCGTCATTTCTCCGCGGATACAAGACCAGTAGTTTGAGTATGAAGAGCACCACAGTACTGTACACAAGCCCATGTAATAGCTGGCTCCAAGGAAGGTATCTCATTCTGCAGACTAGAACCCCATTCGCTCTCTGAATCAGCTTCCCACAGCATATATTATCAGAAGATGTCCTCTATACGGTGGGTGCTGTAGATAGCATAGAGGTCGGATTGAACCAGTCACGACGGGCGAGCCAGCTGAAATGTTAAGGCATTCTGCAACTATGTCAGAAGACGGATGGGCCGATTAGGCAACCACATAAGGATATAGGTGGACCAGAAAAGCCGACCTAGATTCCAAGTAGCATTCGGAACGCGAATAGTGTTCCGCGCGTTGAAGGGCGAATATGCGATGGATAATCCCGGTGAAGCATACAAAAACGCGGTTCTCATGACTCAGTTTAGCAACGATATACAATTAGGTAATTATCCAAACCATAGTTGTGTTCATTGGCGAAGCGAGATTATGCTAACATTGGGAGGTATGAATGTCTCAAGTCCCATAGTATGGTTTGGGGGTCAAGTCTAGATTTGGATTTGGATTCTTGACTGCGCGGCAGACTATTGAAGCCAGTTGGAAAATACCACTGGGTTAAAATATAGAATAAATATACTTGAACGATGTCACGATGGGCCAATTCGACGCGTCAATATAAGAATGATAACAATTCTGTCGCAGCTCTGCTTGCCATCAACCTAGACCTGTAGACATCGTGGTTGAAATTCCAGGGCTTTTGAAGGGTAACTACTAGGAAACATATAGAAGAACCTTTACGACCGCTAGATGGGTCCAAACAACGACAGTCGGATTGGATCTCTGTATTTGATCGCTGGTGGTGCGTGTAGAATCTAGTTAAGACTGGTTAAAGTCACACATCTTCCACATAGTTTGTTGACCATTCATGGAAACCCAGAAGCTAATAATAATATAGTGGTAGATATATTACTGAGAGCCGATGACTATTATCTGGAGTAATGGCATGCCTTGTATCATCGTGCAGATAGACTATTGGAGGACTTGTGCACCTACCGTCAAGAATGGTAAGCATATTTTTGACATTGAAAATCTTTTAGCTTTGCACCCTATTGATACCAACATGCACTGCCACATATAATGCGTCGGACAACATTCAATGTCTTCTTTAATTCTGTAGGTGTTTTATGCTGGTCGGTCACTGACAAAGCAGAAGCGCGATTCAAATCGCATCCGTCTTTCTTACGCCATTTAGAAATAGCAACGAAGTAGTGGCTGATAGATTGCATTTGTATTTTGATATTGCTGTTCAGAATCTGTCATTCAATACCAGCTCTCGGAATCTGGTATATTGGAGAACACGATGATGATGTATAGACATCTCAGCTGTCATCCTTACACAAGAAATAGTCGTCATCGGAGATATAAACTCTACTATGCGATCCCAAATGTCCTGATGAACAACGGAGCTTTGTCAGGGGCACCGGTTGTCCTTTGACGAGCCCACTGACCAGCAAAGTTTACCGTTCAGAACTATTTATGTGGATATGATAGGTCAAATAGGCAATCGAACTGTAGCTCCAAGCCCTGCAGCCATGTCGTCAGCCAGAAGAGCCAAGCTTTCCCTTTTTTCTGCAAATTGCGCCTGCCGAGATGGTTTCAAACCTAAAGCGCTCGTTTGCGGCGATACTCAGCAACACGACTGGGTGCGGTAATGATTCTAAGTTTATGCTTCAACTTGTTTACTCAATCACCGCAACCATCTTCCTGACCCACTCAGTGGATATTTTCCGACGATGCTGAGTAGGTCTACCGTTATCACGGAGCTCCCATAGCCGACAGGTTAAACTTATGGTCGTTTAGCGACTGCATTGCCTAGTCACTCTCTTTATGCATCAACCATGCAGTTTACATACAACAGCTGAAGTCGACATGTGATATATATACAGATAAAATTCAAACGCTCCAAAGGACGCAAGACAAACCGAAAACATGTAGTACAGTACCAGAATCAACAAGGGAACCGGAGATGATTGATGACCGTGGATGTCATGCATCCGCCGCTGGGTTGTAAGATGCTGCACCAGGTATTCACTCCCTCGCAAAATCCACCCATATGGGCACATAGGCCGAGTTCGTGTATATTCTCATTAGGACAGCAATTGTGTGTCAGTCACAATAAGACCGTTGGATGACGTGTCAGCTATTCCCCGCGGGTGACAGGCGATTATCGGCATCACTCGAAGCAACACGCTCGCGTATTCAATCCGACATATGTACTCTTGATCACCTCTGCGATGCTCAGCAACGCTTAGTGGATTCCCTTGCCGGAGCAACTCTCATTCACCGAACGGAAACAAAGTGTTGTGGTCGAAACAGGGGTATTAGGACGTAAGGTGGGATTATTCGGAGATTTATCGGGGTAAGCTGGTGGAAGACCGCAGTCTACAGGTCGTTGTCATTCCACTTTTGAGCCGCCTTTGCTTCTATGGCGTCTCTCTTCTTATTGCGATAAAGGAAATAACAGCAGACTCCGACCGCGATCAGGAATAAACTAGGGAAACGATCAGTCTCTCCCTCGGAGTATAACAATCGGGAACACTACTGTACTTACACCCCAACAATGATGCCAGGGACACCGGTCTTAGTGAAGTTACTCACAGGCTTCTCGCAGGCTGCAGAGTTGTCATCCTGACACTCGCGAATCCACAGGGATGATGCCATTGGAGGCATCTCGAGGGCGGATGCAGGGTGGATGGGATTGACGATCGGTTCGAGAACATGGGAAGAAGGAAGATTAAAAGGAAAGATCAGGGGTTGATCCGAGAAGGAAAGCAGGCAGGGCAATTCGAGAATTAATTAGCGCCAAACACGGTGGGAGTCTAATCTTAGTAGCGTCTGAGCCATGGTCCAATAACTACGGACTGTTTAAGGGGTTCTCCCACACTAGACGGAATGCGGATAAGAAATGTATCTAAAATTGACATTCTGAAACAAGGGCTCCTGAACTGAAAACGGCTTTCGATCAATCCAATTCCGAAGTCAATTGGCACTGCCATTTGAGCAAGGTCTCTGCGAGTTTTGTTTTTGGAGGACTCCGTCCTGCGTACGTTTCTGTCGTGTTTCTTCCTTTATTTTATTTTAGAAAAAAATCTTGTCCATAAGATTACCCCTAGTCAGGTATTCAGGAGTACCGAGGTTACTAGGAGGAAGGTAGAAATCCTTCTGCGCAAGCTCTAAGAATACACTCAAATTCCTATGAGCCCCTCGTTTCACATCTTTTCCATGGGTGAATTCTCCCCGGGCTTTATCGGATGTCAAGAGCCCAAGGAATTGCTTGTTGGTGAACAGAATCTGGGGAAATTTTCTGCGACATGCCAAGACCCCTGGAAAAATGCAACATTTTCCGTCTGATGCTTCGCGATTGTTTAGATAATCAAAGAAAGGGGGTGGGGTAAAAAATAAACATAACAATACCTCAATGAATCCAAGTCAATGGATCTACACTTCTTCACCATAGCTCATATAGGTTTTGTGGACATTATAACTTGTAGATGATATCACTATGTTATGTGGACAAAGAATGTCCTACAGACATCGCACCAGTTAATCTACCTACTTATGAAAAGAATTACATCCGTCAACACAGAGTTGAGCTCACCTTGTAACATTCCCTGGCATCTCCCCACACAAGGCTAAGTCAGGGCTTCCATCGCACCTGACAGGGTTTGCGAGGGTTGATTGGTGGAGATGTAACCTCTTCCATCACCAAGCAAGGGCGTCAATTGTCCTCCGTAGGGCCAGGGGGAGCGATGCTTCAATAGCGTTATTTCATATCGATTGAAAAAAAAAATCTTCGAGCAATCCGCCAGTGTCTTCCCGCCCTACGCGATCGGCCAGCTCTATCGTAGAGTTCCAGTATACACTCATGCTAGCAGCGAAAGCCACTACCGGAGGGAGGCTGCGCTTGTAATTAATGCTCCCCAGACTGACAAAGGCAGAATAAACTCTCGACTCGGAATGTACAGAGTTTGGGCCTCCTGGAAGCTCCTTTCGTAGCCAGTGCGGTGGGCAAGATGATCTTGACTTGTTTGGGATCTCCTGAAGATCCCATTAAAAAGAGAGAAATTAACTGGCCGTGGGGTGGCAGGCATACAGTCACATCTGATTTGAAGAGATCCGTGAATGGCATGACTGAAATAATTATTGGATACGGAACATTGCTACAAGAAACCGAGGAGCTAGAAACTCCCGATTTTCCTCTGCTATGTATAGATGTGTAGCGATTTTGCACCATCTTTAGCCATGAGCTATTCCGACCAAATGTTAATCCACACATAACTTTGGAGCTGCATGCTAGGGATTCCAGGTGAGTCTGTGAATAGAGATTCTTGGTTTTACTCTTACTTTCTCGTAATAAGATACCTATGGCATTGTTGCTACTCCTACCTTGCGAGGCACGCTGTATCCTATTGTCATCCCAGCTTACTGTGCTTACTATATGCACCCGTAGAGACTATTGCGGTCGCCTTTCTTGATCGATTACAATGTGTCATTAATCATTACTCACAAGCTTCTTCAGCTGGATCTCTTAGAAGTACCGACCAATACTCACTACTATTCGACTGCATCTTCAAAGAATCCAAGATGAAGTTTTACTAGGTCGTGTTTCTGACCCTAGGAAGAATACAAATAAAACAATAACCTATCAAACACCGCCAAATAACCCATCTTCATCTGCAATACAAGCAACTGCTTCTGACAGAAGAATAGCTGTATGATAGGCACCTCCACTTCCAGAAACATGTACCCTTACTCATAAACTAACTATTTTTCGATGCAGACCACCACACCGCGGTGTACATCCACCCAGGCCCCGCGGTCCAGGAACGACCAAGTATTTTCGTCGTCCAATGTGACTTTGACCTCGGGGTCGCTTTGAAGTACGCGACAGAGCGTATCATGGTGAAATCTGATGAGCTGGGCGCTTGTTGCAAAGATCTTGCCGTCTTGTTCAATATCTGAGCCGTCGAAGAGCTCTTGGATTGGGTGCGGCTTGCCATCGGTTTCAACGTCGGCTTTGGCATTTGCGCCAGACCAGTCGTTGGAAAGCTGGATGGTCACACTGTCAGACCAGCCATAATAGAAAGGAGTAGCGGAGGCAGAGGTGGCGAGAACAGTGAAGAGAAGGCCAAGTGTGTTTGTGATCTTCATCTTGAATTATTGTTCGTAACTCTACTTGAGTTTGCGGTTTGAACTTGAGAGATAATTGCTTTGATATTTGTACTTAACCCATCGTTTCTTCATGCGAGATGGGATGGTCACCATTGCCGTATTTATACTTGGTTGTCATGCTGGCCGTCATATCAGAGTCAATTGTATCATAGAACCGGTACCACACCCTTAGTTCCATGGATGAAGAACAGAATAACATATAGTGGCAGTTTGTTTGACTGCATGCGGAAGAGTTGCGCAATAAACGTAGTAAATGGTTTGTTGGGATTCAAACCAACTGAATTTTAAATCTCAACTCCAATCGCCACAAGAGTCAGTTTTTACTCATATACAGTCCTGATAGAGTCATGATGTCTATATTTGTATTGTACCCTGTTTCGTATTAAGCAGCAATATCTGTCCGGGGGTTTTCTAGTGCCTAAAACAAAAGAAACTCGTAGGCTGAGCAACCTTCTGCTTGGGCGACGTAAAAACATCCCATCTTTGGCAGCGTAGCCGAGTGTCATTAACTTTATATTTAGTTTTCGGGGTGACCCATCGTAGGTCCACTGATAGGATGCACACCCTTCACTCTGAACGTTGGTGGAGTTATCTATCGAATTCCCATGACGTCCCTGGTATACAGAGAACAGTGGTCTGAAAAGCATAAGCTCTTATTCAGGTAGCAGGCCACATCAATTCTGACCAGCTTGTGGCCAAGATGTGTGTTCTCCAGTCGAGATTCTCGTGTCACTACAAGAAAGCCATATGTACACGCATGTCTCGTTGTCATGGATACTCCGGAGTATATTCTAGACGTCAATTAAAGTTATCTAACGGTTTATCCGCCCGGTGCCACGGCCGCAACCGTCGACGACTGAACCATATCCATCCACGCGGAAAGCTAGGGTTGGTCTTGACTATTGACGTAATGATAACGGAGTTGGTCCACTCATTTGTGTTTAAAGACAATTGGAATCAGTAGAATGTTTCCCACGTTCTACGTCTCAATTATACAACCCGGTGCAGATCTGCGGATGCAACGTCAGGTGTGGCAGATCCACAAAGCGGCGACCAAGGAAGATTAAAGAGCCACCATCTGCTTGGATATGTAATACCAAGCTCTGGCTCTGCGTCCATCTAGCATCAACACATCTAGGTCATCATTCTGGGCGACTATAAATGCTAAGCCATGGACCAGCACCTCAACCCGAGAACCGTGGCATATCATGAGGTGGTCGTCAACAAGAAATGAGACCATTAAGTAACTAGTAACGCCTGATAAACTGTAATCATTTTTCCGTGCAAGGAAGTTTATATATTAAATATTTTCACAGAAGTATTCACAATTCGCTCAATAAAATGAAGATGTGCAAGGAGAAATAATTTCTTTATACAAGTCCTCGCGCCAAAGAACGAAACGCTAAAGCACAAATTTAGTTGGCCCAGCAGGGCTTGGGGGTCTTGGTCTCCATGATGCGAGCAGCAATGCCAACGCAATCCTTGTTGCCAGCGGGGTTGGCGACACCAGCGTTGGCCCAGATGCTGTAGCCGTCGGCAGCGGGGCAGGCGATGAGGCTGGATCCGTCGAACTGGAGGTGACCATCCTTGATGGCCCAGCCCTTGCGCTCGGCGTTCTTGGGGGCGGGCTCGACACCAACGGTGTACCCAATCTTGCCCTGGCCTATGATATGGTTAGCTTTTGGTGTACATTGTTGGGGTATGGGTGGAAGGCTTCACGTACCCATGCCGGAGCGGTCAACGTAGACCTCCTGGGGACGAGCGGTGTTGTCGTAGATGTTCAGAACACCGTCGTTGATGTAGAAGCTGGTCTCCTGGCAGCTGGATCCCTTGTTCTGGAGGCCAGCGATGAGGCTACCCTGGGCGGCGCTGAAGCCAGCGTTCTGGACACCGCTGCCAGAATGAATGGCGATGACGCCGAAGTATTGAGTGGCGCCAGCGCCAGGGGTAGAAGACGGGGTCGAAGCCGGGGCGGAGCAGCTGTCAGCAGCCGGGGCAGCGGCGGCAGTAGCAACGACGGAGGCAGCGAGAGCAAGGTTCTTGAACTGCATTTTGAAAGGTTGGCGGTAAACGAATGGGTTTGAAAGAGAACGAAGGTGTTTTGAACGATTGGATGGATTGATTGACTGATGAGTGAATGATAGCAGGGAGAAGGGGAATGAGAATGGCTTTTATATGTTAAGCGTGGTAACCTAGTCGAGGCGATGAACTCTCTTCCAAGACATTAATGGCAACTATTACCCGCTAACTGTCCGCTCTGGAGATTGAAATCTTAGGAACAACGGGAGAATACCGCGGTTCGATGGGTGCCATGTTGTCATCCTGCAGAATAGTCGACCCTAGAGCTATAATTAGCCGGTCCGCTCCGCAGTCCCTCGAGTTTAGCTTCATTTCGGCTCATAGTTAGCGATGTCATTGGGGTCTTGTCCATCACGTGGGGTGCTGTGCCTCAGTTGCCACGCTCTGAAGCCCTCGGAATCGAGGGAGCAACCAATCGGGGAATAGGGGCCGTTAATTTTAGGAGAGACAGTTGTTTCGCAGAGACAAGATTCTGAACGGGTAGAAGAACAGCCGCTACTCCACATTACAGACATTGTCTCATTCTAGTGTCCGTCATTGGCTCCTTATATTGAACTTGGTCCGGAGCAATGCCCTAAACATAGTAGATGGGGCGGCAATCTTTGATCAATATCCTTGTTGTCTCCTCACGCCACTGAAAATCCCCCGCCAGCAAGATGGGAGGATTGTATACCGCACCTGTTGTCATAATGATGAGGTGAACTGCGTTACGTCTTCTTGAACAGCGAAAAGGCTATGGAGCTCTGGGCAAAACAATGACACAGGGCGAACTTTCTACAGCCTAAGACAGGGGGACAATGATTCAGAACCAAAATCATTAGCGGGTGCAGATCCAACCCCATTTTCAGAAACCGTTAATTTGGATACGGAGCAAGATCCGGTAGGGACGATGCAGATTGTCCAGAAGATTTGAACCCTCGACATCTCAACCGACCATACGCGATAGTAGGATCAATAGACTGCAGAGCTATTGCCCAAAACTGCATGTCTCAAAATTTGCGAGGCACTGGAAAATGCCTCGATGCATGCCGGCTAACTCCGGTCCACACTGCTTGGCATTCTCCTGCACATCGCCAGCAGGTTCGGATGTACTCCGTAGATTATCCGGGAGTCGGTCACACCAGCTCATGAGATTTGCTACATAGTATTCAAGCATCAGGTCCAGCGATCAGGTTACGATGGATACAGTAAGCATTTGCCCCACGTTTGTACCTGCCCTGCCAAAAACGGGAGCAACTGGCTGGCATATCCATCAACAAAGTTTAGCTAAACCATTCCTTCACCAGATCTGGGACGAGGTTGCGACGGGATTATGAGAAGCCTGAAATAGTTCTCCCTCCTGTCCTGGCTTAGAGTAGTCTGCCGTACCTCCTGGGTCAAGTTTATTGTTGGGTTACCAGGCAGCTGCAACGCGGCGTGGGTAAGATATGTCTCTTGGCTGAGACTTGGATTGGAGGGTCTGCTATTGTCCAATTACGTATTATCTGTCTTAAGCCACTGTCCTTGATAGGAGGAAAGGCACGATACTTGGAGTCAAGGAATTGTCTAGTGTGTATTACAACTTGTCAACAATATGGCAAGAATGACATATCCACCCCGTGTTCTACGTAGGACATAGACAGTAGGAAACCTGAGCAATATGTGGAGCTCAAGAGTAAACCAAAGATATCACAGGGGGTCTTTCGAACGACCGTTAGGACGGCCAGGCTCTGCGAGCATCTCTGAGATATCCCTTGTGCAGTAGATAGTAGATAGTAGATAGACATCAATCTATACTCTTGAACACTTCCATCATAGCACAAATAACAAGACAAAGCTGGCTCTCATATCTTGATCTAGCTCAGCCTCTTGCTGGCTCTTCGTTTACTTTTTTTTGTTAGGTGGGCGGGGGGGGTATTGCTTGGTGGAATGACTGGTTCAACTTGGATCATGTACTTGAGCTTCATGAACTGAAGCAGACATCCAACAGTATATATGGATTATCTCTCAATATAGTGAGTATTGTTTGGGGTCTGCTCTGATAAATGTGAGCTATCCTCATACACATTCTCGATATATATGTCGGGATTAAGATGGATGGTAAAAGATTCGGAAAATTTCATAATATACTTAAGCGTTGAGTTTAAGATGAGGATACGACTCTGGCGTAACGCTAACTTCGACAACAGAATTGTGAACAAGGAATGATATCTACCACTTTACGATCAGTGTGGAAGAAATACTTTTGCATGTTTTTGTAAAATCAACGAGGTTATTTCCTTTTAGGCTAGGCGAACATCACCTGATTGGGGTCACTGTTCTGCGATTATATATCGGCTCCCATGATAGTGTTGTAACAGACTGACATACTCCAGTTCATCTCAAATGTTTAATGTAAACCTTGAATCGATATTGATTGATTACTATCCTCTACAAGTATTATTTCTGTTTCCCATTTATAAAGGTTTAGTATCGTCGATACGGGAAACGATCATGGATGGACTGTGACCCATGCGCGATGGAGTAGCTGGGACTGTCGCGCCTGGTACGAGTGAATAATCAGAGATGGGAGGAAACGTGATAAGCTAATACAGAAAGAAAATATACACGTAATATGCAACTCTCGAGTTCTTATGATTGGAAAAGAAAACAAACAGACAGTCGAAAGCAATGCCAAAAAATGAGGGGAAAAAAGAAATGGACTTGAGGGGAATTGAACCCCTGACTTCTCGCATGCGAAGCGAGCACTCTACCCCTGAGTTACAAGCCCGAGTAGCCGAAAAATCATTACGATTTGAGGCTTAAGTATATAATATGATGAGTATGTTCTCGAAAGATCACTGCATGCGTCCTCGAGTTCCATATGTAACCTCAGACCCTTAGACCTGTTCGCGGTCATACCTATGTCCTCGTGGATCACCTAACGCGTCAGACATGGGAGTATCGGTTACATATCCCTTGCATTTTGTAGGACAACGCTACTCGCCAACGCATATTTACAATTGGTGATGACGCTGGATCGAAGAGAAATGCGTGATTGGCAAATTGGTGTGATGATAACGTTGGAGCTACACGCGCCAGATCGTCACTCAGAACTGGCCAGTAATTAGGTTTCTATATAATCGAGATTGATTCCTATTTCAGCAACTTGCAGGCACCATACGCGTCGTACCTGGGTTCCCTCGACGTCTATGTCTGGGTAAGGGCACCGCAAGGCAAATAAATTATCATCAACAGGTCGCAAACTCGGTCAACGATCGTGCCGGAGTTCCGGGTGGCGTTGATAAGCAACTTTTGCCAGGAACCAGAATTGTGTACAAAAGTACCGGCTCCATATCCGGAGAGTCAATGCTAAATGGAGGAGGTGAAAAAGTTTCCGCTCCGCTAGACGGAGGAAGGACGCATTCGTTGCCGCGGCACAACTCCGCCCAGCCCCGACCGTGGGACGGATGGATACGATCAGAGTGGCTGTTGGTCGATTTCGAGCGTTTCACTGGATTATCTGGGTTTGGCCGATCAATGCTGCCACGTTAGGTCGGCACTCCAGCTATGATTTGTTTCGCAGCCGCGGTTTGCCACCAAAAACTGAAAAAAAAATGAACAGAAATCTACCCGCGCCGTATCAGCTCAGCTCATCCTTCGAGGTCATGAGTGTCTTCCAGAAGCTGCAACCAACAATTAGTGGCGCATCGCCGTCGCGCTAAGATTGTTAGTGGGACAGATGGCGTGCGCCTCCCAAGGATATGAATTTCTCAACACGGGAGGTCTGGAACCCGGATTGGGTCAGATGACCCTTGACGGTGGTTGGCAACAAAGGAATTGCTGACACTTGTTCCACCCTGGGCAGCGAGAGAGAAGGCCCATAGCTCGAGTGGTGTGGTTTTGAGGACATCACCCAATCTGTGCTTGCAAGTGTAGACGTGTCAATTGTCCGAGGCGGTCACATTACTAGTAGTTAACCCTATACTGGAGAACCCCGGATTTTAGCTCGGTTGCATTGAACTGGAAATCCCGAGTCATTGACTGGAAAACCTTAATAATGGATCTCAAGATTTGGCAGAGACGATCTCAGAAAGGAAACGAAAGCTACCCCTGGAGCATTAAATTATTAATAAGCCCCCCTTATGAGCATCGTGAGTTTGGTGAGTCGGGGAGCCATGGGACGCGATCTCCGGGCGGTGAGGGAGGGTTTTAGAGAGCTACAGTACAAATCAGGATTGTGAAATGTAACAAGAATTAGCTACATTCAACCAGGACAGTCGACCAGACCCGCTCGCAACGCTATTTTGCATTGATGAGGGGGATGACCTGGCAACTTTCGAGGACATGGCGGTCAAGATGATCATCGCTAAGAGTTTTCTGGCACTCTCCTATCATGGTTGTCTATTTATTGCCCCATCCTCTTCTCCACTGTGGACCCCCTGAACCATTTATTCTGGAATCCAGGCACTGAACTTTTCCCTTCTTTCTCTTTTATCTATTCAAACGCCCCTCCGTGTAACGGACAATTCCCAGAAGTCAGATTCAACCCTCCCTTCACCATGGCGTACGATTGTTACTGCGCGATCTGTGGTGTCAGCTTCAGCGGCATGCACATTGAGTCACCGTCGGAGACCGCGATCGAACGACGAAGACGGTGGATTGAAAAGAGATGCCGGGCGCTCGAGGCAGGCCAAGACATCACCCAGATTCCCACCGAAGAAAGCGATGCCCCCGTGCGCAGTTACGATCCTCGTTTGGTCGACACCGATAACATCTCCTGGCTCTACAAGGCTTACTGCCTGGGGTCGAATCCTCCTCCCTCCGGTACTTCGAAAACGAACAAGTGCGTGCTTATAGATGCCAGCGGCGAGTCAATTTGCGTCTGACACGGTTACAGAGCGTTTATTTCTGGTCCGGGATATTATGCGGATATTGTAGGCGACATCTGAACATACCTTGAAGCAAGCCATCGTTGGAGAAGCTTACACGCTACTGTCACAGGGAGAACTAGTGGTGAAACCCGGCAATGGTATGTGTTACACGAGGCTGGTGAACCGCATGAGCGTGGCTAATCTTATCTCAAGATCAATATCAGCCCTCGGCCCGGAAAACCTTTATGTGGTCGGTTTTGACCTCTCCGATCTGATCCCTCGAAGGGAGAACCATAAACACCCCATCGCTAACGTTCTTGCAGTTACGACGAGGGAACCGAAGACGCAGCCGGCCCAGTCCTCCCCTTCCATTGGAGCTGTTTCGAAATCTTGACCCGAGTACTCACGGGTTCCACCGAAATCAACAATGTCAACCTCAACGCTCTTTACAGTGTCATGTCTGCTTTAACCAACCATTCCTCCTTGCATTTGAGCTATGGAGACGACATTTTACGGTCGCAGGGCCGTTATTGGGAATGCATTCCTGGGGCAGAGGTAAGCGTGGCCGCCCCAGAGATTAGACTGTAATGTGCCTAACGTATTGCCAATTTCTGCCCTCAACAGTACTGTGCCAAGAACCCAACAGATACCCCCATGGTCGATGAGCTTTTCCAAAACCTGAGCACGGATAGTAAATTCAAGCGTCCTTCGCTGGAGATTGAACTCCGAGAACGACGCCCTACAGATCCATTCGGCCAACTACCCCTGGAGATCGCACAGCAGATTTGCATGTTTTTGCCCGGGGATTCGCTGAAAGCTCTTGCTCAAGCTTCTCTCAGCGTCCAAATGATCACTCAGGATAACTCGTTCTGGAAACGTTTTATGCAGTGGGACATGCCGTGGCTCTGGGAATTCCAGACGCTCCAGACTCAGAAGGACGTCAACTATAAGTCGCTTTACCTGTGGCTGAACAAAATGACCACTCCGCGGTACGGCATGGACGACTTGAACTTGATGGGTGTTGCCAACCGCAGACGCGTCTGGGGCGTTTGCGAACAGCTTGCAAGCCGCTACAACAACAGCACTGGCCAAACTCCAGCCGCAGCGATGAAATGGGGTCGCGACTAAGCATTTGCGGATATCTACAGGATGTTATTGCCATGTTTTGACTGCGAGGTGAGTCTTGACCCTTAGACTATATGGAGTCGCCGTATATTGAGGAGAGAGCTAATGTGGCAACCCTCCAGGGATTTTTGCGGGAAATGAATTCAACCATATGATACCACCACAGCTTCACTACCTGATTTCGACTTTTGCATCGCTTCTTTGTCCATTCTTTGGAGTTTATTCGGCGTTAGCACTGGGCCCGTTGCTGATTCTCAACTTCTTGCCTTTATTAGCGTCAAGCACTATAGATATAGACCATCTGCCTTGTTATCTTGACGAATACATAATGAAACCCAGCGATTGATCCGATACTACACCATTGCATTGCGCCTTCACATTAGACGGATCTATGTTTTTTTACTGTTTTTGGAGAGGACCAGTCCAGTATTGGTAGAACGCCATGTGGTGAAACTTCGTACCTAATATTAGTATATGCAACAATCTGGTCAAGAGCTTTATTTGCGATATCGCTTAGTTTCTTCTTTCAAACCAACCGAGGTGTGGCGAATGTGGCAATGTTTGGTGAGTCGGAGAACGTTCGGAGCATTGTCGGACTATAATGATATCCATTCCAGCGCCATCAGCGTCGCGAGAGCGCGTTAAAATCAAGGTCATATTTGGAAAAATTACTGTTCTCGTTAGAATTCAAGTCGCGCTGCCCTGTCTCTCGATAAAAGCCCCAATTGTCTTCCTGTGGTTGGTGACTGAGCCTGGTGCAGCTTTAGTTCTTCGCAGTCCCTCCCGATTGCAGCCATCAACTAAAGATTTTGACGGAAAGATCACTTAGAACCTGAATGTTGGACTGTACTTACAAACGGGTGATAACTAAGTATCTGCTTCTAGAGTGTGGTTTATTCCATAGCCTGTAATGGTCAAGGGCAATTTTATCAGCATTGAGGACCCCGTGTTAAAGCCAACCCTAACTGTGCCCAACGCCCAACGCGTCGTAGAGTTTTTAGTTGAATAGATTTCTCTTTGTTTAAGCCAGCCGTCCCTTTGTGAGAGAGAAATGTTATTTCCAGGTTGACTCTAGGACAAAAATCCTTTTCTAGTTTGCTCGAGTTGGTGGAATGTCTTTCAGCAGGACATGCTCTCCGTAGACTTTGATGACTCCTCTACATTGGTACAGGTAATCTATGACCGAGCGCTGATGCCCTCGACACAGATGGAAATCTGGGCTCAGCAGGCGGCTCCCTAGCCGCCCATCGCTTTGATCCCTAGGCTACTTGGCAGACTGTTGCCTACGATTTGGGCCCCTGAAGACCACGGAACAGGGCCTGCTCCATGTCTTCAGGATGATCGAGGATAACTCCCCAAAAGTCGATGATAGCACCCCAGTCCCCCACCATTGCAGCCAGATACAGACTGTTGCTGTCGCTAGTCCCATGAAGTTTAAAATAGACCCGTTTTGCAGGCAATAGCTCACAGCTGGTTGGGAAGACGGCTATCCTTGACTTGGGCAGCACAGGAAGCTCCGTGATACCGACTGATGCCATCGCTAATACATGGCGGGATGGATCGGTTCTCCCTCTTTGACAATCGCATCATTTGCTCGGAGTCCGTTGCGGCCAGCCGTCGATCCTGCATTGGTTGGCCGGCTTGGATCCAGTAATGAAGCGACGCCCCGATCGGTCTTCGACTATTAGATCCTGATAGCGAACACAACAGTCGAAGTCTTCGTGCTTGATAGCCCTGGGACATGATGCTCCTGTCATGATCTCGGCATGACGAAGGATTATATTATACCATCATGCTCCATTTCCGTGAAAGGGTTATCTCCGGCGGCCGTGATGCTCTTGACTTCGAACCTTGTAGGGCTTTCCACGGTCGCATCCTTCGTCGCGGCGGAGCTCAACGCATAGCTATCTATGGCAGACGTCTCGAACCTTGGTGTCGAGATTGGACCATCAATCGGGTATTGAAGATGCGACCTCTTGCTGCAACCATCGGCCAAGTTTCTGCTTAAGTCAAGAAGAAATAACGGGTGCGATGGGTCTCGACTTCGACCAGCCGTGTCATTTCTGCGTAGGACAGATCCATGGCGTGCTCTATGATTCCAACCAGGCTCGTTCTTCCTTGCATTTAGTCTGTTAGTTTCGTAGAGATATGAATGGAACTTAGAAGAAACCACATGAGAACCTGGCGTCATCCATGGTACCTTTTGCTTTGCGTCATATACTTGCATTTCCTTGATCTTATTATTTCCCTGGAATTGTCTCGCGTCAACTAGAGTATAGTCTGCGTGTATCTTTCTATGCGATGGAAATACAGTAGTTGTTGGCGGGCAGCGTCCACATACGAGACGCGTGACTCTGTCCAGGATGTCTTCGGTGACCGTACAAGCATGAGTGGCCGACGCGATATGATATGCGCGTCTTAGACACGCCGGATGACGGGGCACAAAGTGTATATGTGCTGTGCAGGTAGTTAAAGGACTTTTCGCTGGCGAATAATTTATTATAATCAGGCCCATGCTAACGCGAAGCTCGTGGTGATGGTTGCGGGCTGGATATCGCCGAAAGGATGGCCGCCTGGTGTGCGCGGTCGCGCGACCGACCAGGTGAATCGAGGATATCTGGGTCCAAAGGGCTTACACGGGTAGCATTTGGGAAGCTTCTATATGGTCGCGCGAGCGACAAAAGCTCAGCTGGGTTATTTATAGCTGGGAATCCGTGCACTCATCCAGCGACCTGATTGTCGACAAGGCGAAGAAAATACGAGCGCGTTTGACAACCAGGCTACGGCAGCCGCTTGTCAGATCAAGAATATCAATCTGCTCAGGGCTATGACATATGTATCTAAACACTCGACGTATCCGAAAAGGGGGTTAAGACAGAAGAAAGCAACATGAATGAGAAGAGAAAAAGTAAATGCAAGTAATATCGAGTCAGAAGGCTATCTACAGACAAGCCATGGATCATAATGCTAGGGTATCCGTGACGGAAAATCATAAATTCCTCAGTATCATGCTGTAGCGCCCATATACTTTTAGTGCAATGATTAAGCAGTCGTCCCTGATCCGCTGTCCGAATCAGTTGTTTCATCCTCCTTTACCACGTACTGTCCACCGCGCCGGAGTATTAGTAGGGATACTGGAATCTGCACAGCTGCAAAGGCAATCATCGCCTGATATTGACGGGTATAGCTCTTCGCAAATACATCCCCAATTGCAGTCTGGAGCTTAACAGGAAAGGTCTCCACCATACTGCTGTTCTCCAACAATTGCTGTAACTGCTCAGATGAAAGTGTATCTGCTAGCTCGCTCTTCAAGTTCCCATACTGGATGTTAGCCGCAATGGCGAGGCCGATTGCGCCTCCGAGAAAACGGCACTGATTAAGTGCACCCGTTGCTGTTGCTGTTAGAGCGTAAGTATGTTTGAACCAAGTGAAACCGGTGAATTCGGTACCATACCTAGGTCCTGCGTCTCGACAACGTAAGGTATCGCTAGAATGCACACTCCGATAGTGCTGCCAATGCCAATGCCTGCGATAACTTCATATCCATACCCAGCACTAGGAAACACGTCTGACTGAGGTAGAATGGAAAAGAGAGCCATTCCCACCGTACTTAGCACGGAGCCCAAGAGGATGAGATATACAAAGGGGACACGGCCTCGAAGACATGCAAGATTAGCAGCGGCGGTGCTCACAGTTGCAAGAGCCGCGTATGGGATCAGCCGGACTCCAGCATCTACAGGCGACAACCTTTCTAGGACTTGAAAGCGCTGTGCCAGGTAGACAATTACCACGTTCCAAGGACAGCCACTGGCGAAAGTAATTCTGTGGTGACAAAATAAGCACGGTTGGATTCGAGATCAAAGGGAAACCCCACAGTCTCAACGACTCACATAAGCATCGCCATCCAAGCTCGGTTGAATAGTAATCGTTTTGGGAATATCGGGTGATAGCCAGGACGTCCATCGATCATCCATTCCCAGGCAAAGAAGGCCATCCATGATACACCACCGGCAGCGAGGAGCCCAATTGCAGTCCCAGACGCCCACTCAAATGCCAGATTAGTTTCATTCAACACCGCGATGGGCAGCAAAGAGGCACTGAGCAGTAGAACAACACCCACGAGATCCAGCTCTCGGAAGAGTGTGATGCTCGGTCTCAAATGGGCGATAGACTTTGATGACACCGACCCAAGGTTCTCGGGCATGGCGATAAGGAGCATCACTACGGCTACTGCTCCAGGTGGGAGGCTATTGCTCGATACAATCATTAACCACCATACCCCGAAGATTGAGGGACATATAGAAGGAACGCACTTCACGTAAAAAACCCATCTCCACTCCGAATTCTGCGCCAGTACTCCGCCAATGAGAGGCCCTGTTAGAGCTGCGCATGCAATGGCTACCGCCAATATGCCGCCTAATAGGGGCACCTTCGTCTTAGGAACAATCTCATAGGAGCACAAGATGGTGAGCGGATAAACCCCAGCACCGCCAATGCCTTGAAATGATCGACATATAATGCTGATACGTCCTTAGTATAGGGCGTCCCGGTATTTCCATCGATTCAAATAAACCTACAGCGTGTTGACAGACGGGGATAGCCCGCATCCAAGTGAAAATGCCAAGAAGATAACTTTGGCTGCAAGCAAGGTTTTCTTTCTACCAATGATGTCGCTGACCCTGGTCCAGATGGACATGAAACCTGCGCCAAGGTTAGCGAACCAGACAGAGAAAGTAACATGGACTTCCGACCAGTGAATGTAATAAGAAACCCGGTAACGATCCAGCTTGTTTTGTTGAAACCATCTAGGTCACTTGTGATAGTGATCAGTGAAGTGCTGACGATAGTCACTTCCAAGTTGACCAAAAAAGGCTAATCACCAGCCTAGGACCAATATTTGTGTTTAGCCAACGAAGTATTAAATGGCCCGGGAATCGCGAGTATGGCATACCCAAGTATAATAAAGCACAGTCTCCACCCGTGTGGAAACACAATCTGAGGCCTGGTAGGCTTGCCAGCCACCACGGTGATCTTTTCTTGGCTCTCCGATTCTGAAAGCTCTTGTTTAGCCATGGCGGGAATTTTACTTGCCCTTCCTCTCGAAGACTGTCTCTGATACTCAGCTTTTATATGTGACGCGGGGAGATTGTTATACTATCTAAATCCTACTATCGTCCGAGATAGGAAATAGCCTCAGTTAGTATCGTACCCACAAGAACCTTTCTAGAAGTCGGACTACTATGTGGTTAATGACGTATCTTGGCTAATATGCAAGGAGCACCGTGCCGGTAGCGTGGCACGCTCGTCGCATCAAGTCTTGCCTTGTATTGGTCTTGCTCGGTGTGTGCTTTCTTTTCCCATATTCCGGGCCCATAACTTCTATCCTCTTTCCCCTTTCGATGCAAGATGATGAGGCTGTATAGATGCCAACCTATAGGGTCCTCTTTGTAAGTGGGTAGTCTGGCCATGGATTAAGGAGCCTGTGGTTGGACGTGAAACAATACGTGCATGGCACCATGAGTGGCAGACAGCATGAGCTGGTACTGGCAGTGTACGGCATTCCCTAAACTGCAACGTGAAAATTTAGCTCTTATGTGGCAAGTGTAGTGTAGACCTTCACATTGTGTTCTGATACGCGGTAGTAGCTGCGGTCAACCTTTGCTGCAATTTGCGTTAGGGTGAGACCCCTCCAGTAGGAAGTGAACATTATATGCCGTGCGTATGTCGGATAAGGTAATCAGAGTTCATTATGCCGCTCTATCGGCGTAATTTAAGTACGATGTGGCCAGATTTAGGGTATACGTCAGATACCTTGATCCTCGCGTCACATGACTGGGCCGACCAGGATGTTTTTCCAGGTCTTTTTCTGTTCCTCTTCCTCTCCCCTGCTTGTGCAGATTATGTCAAAGGCTTGAACCTGAAACTGTAGAGCATAGCCGGTTAAACCAAGCTTCGACTTGTGTTCTCTGCAAGTTTTGGGTGTGGGCCAGGATATTGTCTCATTGGACTCAGGATCTTGCAGGATCCGACCTCGACCAATTCATTGCCAAACAGCTTAGGTTATCCTGGATTGGTAGGCTATATATCTTGCACTGACATATTCTATACCTGATCAGGAAATAGACCTATTCGCCTGGGATTCTCGGGGGCGATGTATAGATTAAGTACATAAAGAAGGTATATGTATATGACGGCTTGCGTATCTCTAGACAATGAGCTCTCTGATAGACACAGGAGACCGAAGGCCCTCCATGATGTCGGATGCTTCGCTGGATAGGGGTGCTGCATAGTCCCTCTACATAATTGATCGATAATCAAGTTCAATGGAGGAAGTCAGGGTTCTTTGGTTCTCGCCGTTCGGTCTGAGCGCCGAGGCTTGGCTTGAGTCATCGCTCGACGGCTGAGAGCTTGTGAGAGACAGCTCTAGAGCTCTCCTCAGTTATACCATGACTTCACCGGGAATCTGGATCTCAAACTGACGAATGGGAGTAAACCGGGGAAGATAATCAGCGTGGACTGTGCTCGTCGGGCACCCGACGAGGGTTTGGTGTCGGAGTCCGCGGACCGCGAGCACTCTATTCATGTCCATACTTTGTTGAATGACCACAGATTGCAGTGAAGAAATTTCTGCCTAGATTCTAGTCTGTCTCTTCTGGCTGCGTATCGATATATTTTGTATTGCATGTGAGCTGCTTATTCGGCGCTAAAAAGCAGGTGGGTAGTGAAAAAAACCCTGTCAGATACACAGCTGGTATTTGCAACACTCTATCAGTTAACATCTACGAATTCATATCAAACCGCGATACCGGGGACTCGTTGATAAACGCGGTGGTCTACCGTACAGCCACTGGGAAATTCAATTCCAAAATGATAACTCCCTTTTAGACCCGTCCTAGTAACTGCAGATCTACTCTGTATAGAGTCCGAGGTTCCTTACATATCTTTTTTCATGGAACGTCCGACATAGCAACCCCTTTCCATTTACAGAAGGCGGTGGATAACTGATCCAACCAAAGTAATCTACCGTTCAGTACAATACTTCTTCCTTACAGCTATTGAAGTCTTTGGGGTAACCAGAACTGCAAAAGTGGACACCCCCTGTGGCCGATCACGCCCCTATATAAACCGATATCTCCGTCTCCAGAAGTTGTAGGTTTAACATCTCATGAAAATGTTCCCGAGAACACTCAACATAGTATTATTATGACAGCCCATGTGGATTCTCCAGCGCCAACAAGGGATGGGACATCACGTTCATCCGTGGAAAAGCCTCCAAAGGCAGGCAGCGATGAAACCACCAGTACACCAGAACAGGCGGGTGGGCTGAGAAGCTATTTCAGAATCTTTTCATATACCGACACGGTGGGCTGGGTTCTCAATGTTCTCGCCTTGATCGGAGCCATTGGCGCAGGCAGCGCTCTGCCCTTGATGGATATACTGTTTGGGAAGATGATCACGAACTTCAATAGCCTCGCCACCGGTTCAGATCCCCCAGATAAGTTTCGTTCGGCACTGAATAAGTTCACGTAAGTGTTGTACAGTTGAGTGGCACATTTCTAAGCTAGTCATTAATGTCGATACCCTTCCATAGACTGTACTTTGTTTATCTCTTTATCGGCAAATTTGTGCTAGTTTATGCCTGGACAGTATGTCTCCTACCTTCTTCTACGCTTGATCCGTATTAATAGAGTTACTTCCCACTCGTAGTTGTCGTTATCTGTCTCCGCGGTGCGAACTACCAAATCGCTACGAATATCCTTCTTGACACACCTACTGCGGCAAGATATTGGCTACTTCGATTCCAACGAGAGTGGCTCTTCCGTTGTGCAACTGACGACAAATGCCAACCTAGTCAACCAAGGGATCTCAGAGAAGCTGGGCTTCGCGGTGCAGGGCACAGCCACCTTTGTGGCGGCATTCGTTGTAGCCTTCGTCGTGCAGTGGAAACTAACTCTAATTACAATCTGTATCGCTCCTGCGATCCTGATTGTGACGTCCATCTGTGCCGCCATCCTCGTCAAGCAGGAGAACCGAATTCTTCATGTGAACTCCATCGCTGGGTCTCTGGCCGAGGAAGTCCTTGCCAGCATGAAGACCGTGCACGCTTTTTCCGCCTTTTCTAAGTTGACAACCAAATATGATGACCAGGCCAAGGAAGCGAAGCGCCTGGGCCTTTCACAGTGTCTGAACATGGCGATACTATACTCAGCGGAGTTTTTCTGTGTTTATGCCGGATATGGCCTGGCCTTCTGGCAGGGAGTTCGTATGTATGCGAAGGGTGAGATTGATGAGCCGGGGAAAATCATCACGTAGGTGTTGGGATCTTCGTTAGCCTCTTTGATACCCTTTGCTGACTGCTATCCTCTCGGATGTTTCGCTAGTGTGATCTTTGCTGTCATCGTGGCTGCGACGGCAATGACACAGATCGCGCCGCAGATTATGCAAGTCACCAAGGCAGCGTCGGCCGCACAAAGTCTGTGGGAAGTGATCGATCGTGAATCTCCAATTGACGGACTATCTCTGGACGGCGAACGGCCAGACAAGTGTGAGGGGAATATCGAATTCTCAAACGTCTCTTTTTCATATCCGACCCGGTCCCAGGTCACGGTTCTCCATGATTTCACATTATCAATCCCCGCCAATAAGACAACGGCTTTGGTTGGGCCCAGTGGGTCGGGTAAAAGCACAGTGACTGGGCTGCTCGAGAGATGGTATAATACGCAGGACGGCGCCATCACACTTGACGGCGTAGACATCAGGCAACTCAACATCCAATGGCTGAGGACCAACATTCGCATTGTTCAACAGGTTCGAAGCATCCTTCTGCGCCCATATCTCTGTCATTTGTCTTGTTATCTGACTCTCACTTAGGAGCCTACACTGTTCAATGCCACGATCTTCGAAAATGTGGCATACGGCCTGGCAGGAACGGATTATGCCAATGCCTCAAAGCAGGACCAGTTCGAGCGGGTCATTACAGCCTGCAAAGCTGCCTACGCTCATGATTTCATAGAGACCTTGCCCGAAGTATGTTTTTGAGTAAATAGAGGGTACGGATTGACTACACAAATACTGACACCCTCTGCAGAAGTATGATACGCAGGTCGGAGAGCGCGCCACAATGTTGTCCGGAGGCCAGAAGCAGCGTATCGCGATTGCCCGGAGTATCGTTTCAAATCCAAAGGTGTTAATCCTCGACGAAGCTACAAGTGCATTGGATCCACAGGCTGAAAAGATCGTGCAAGAGGCGTTGGACAACGTTTCTGCCTCACGAACGACCATCACGATCGCACACAAGCTGTCTACGATTAGGAAGGCAGACCAAATAGTGGTCCTATCGCAAGGGCAGATCATTGAGAAGGGAACTCATGATGAACTCAAGGCCGCAGGCGGAACTTACTATCGGCTCATCAAGACACAGGATCTTGGTACGGTCAAAAATGATGGGACTCAGCCAGAGAAGGGAGAGAATGAAGTACCTACCGGCATCGTCCCGGTCACTTCAGGGCAGCATGGCCATAACAAAGAAGCAAGGCTTGTAGAAAGATTGCAGGCTCCTTCTGGACGTGGCTATAGTCTGATTCGGTGTCTGGCCGTTCTTCTCCAGGAGCGCCGCGAGCTATGGTTTGAATTCATTGTTATGTTAGTTACCAGCACTGTAGGAGGTACGCGTACTCCTCTCTCGTGATGTGGCATGCTTGCCGTTCTAATGAAGAATCTAGGAGCCACTTACCCGATCCTTGCGTTTCTATTCGCGAAAGTTTTGGATGTCTTCCAAATAGAATCCACGGGCAAGATGGTGGAAAGGGGGGATTTCTATGCCCTTATGTTTTTTGTGGTTGCTCTTGTCATCTTGCTTGTCTATGGAATTCTGGGCTGGGTTACAACTATAATGGCCCATGTAAGTGTCCCCCAGCTGCCATGGCCAGTAGCTCTGCTCACCACCACGCAGTGCGTTGTGTATACGTACCGTCTTGAAATGTTCCGCAGTTATATCCGGCAAGATATGACCTTTTATGACCAACCTCAACATACGACCGGCTTCTTGGTCTCTGAACTCGCTGCGAAGCCCACTAGCTTGCAAGAGCTGCTAGGCTTCAACGTGGCAGTTATCGTCATTGCCCTAGTGAATATCATCTCAAGCTCTGTGCTATCTATCTCAGTTGGATGGAAACTGGGGTTGGCTGTCCTCGCAGGGGCTATGGTTCCAATGGTATTCTGTGGGTACCTCAGAATTCGCCTGGAGTTCCGACTGGATGATGCCACCTCACACCGATTCTCTGAAAGTGCAGCTTTAGCTGGTGAGGCAGTGTCTGCGATTCGCACTGTTGCATCTTTAGCAATTGAACGAGTGATTTTAGAGAAATACAGTGATAAGTTGGCGGGCATTGAGCGAAAGTCCATTAAGTCGTCAATTTGGACAATGTTCTGGCTAGCTCTCACACAGTCCCTCTCATTACTCTCTATGGCATTAAGCTTTTGGTATGTATCTACATTGCTGTTACACTCTGTTTCCTATGTCTAACTTGTGTGTAGGTATGGAGGTCGCCTATTATCGACAGGAGAGTACTCCAGTACCCAATTATACATCGTTGTCATCGGAGCTATCCTATCTGGCGAAGGGGCGGCGTCATTCTTCATGTTTACCACCAGTAGGTCTCCTAAGGGTAATCTTTTTTGCTTCCACTCACAGTGAACAGGCTTTACCAAATCACAGGCAGCATGCAACTACATTTTCTGGCTCCGTTCCCTACAGCCTGATGTCCAAGACGGATCGTCCGACAACGTGTCCGGAGGAGCAAAGGATACGGCGGCCCATGTGGCGTTGCAGGACGTAGCATTCCGGTACCCTACTCGGCCCACTCGGCCCGTGTTAAATGATATCAACATTGAGGTACGGCCCAGCTTGGGCATAAAGGTCTGGACCATTATATACTGATGAAATTTATTAGATTAACCCTGGCCAATTCGTGGCTTTTGTCGGACCCTCAGGCCATGGAAAGTCCAGCCTCATCTCGCTCCTAGAGCGGTATTACAATCCAACGTCTGGAAGCATCCAACTAGACGGTTCAGATATCCGTGATATGTCGCTTGCTTCGTACCGCAGCCACTTATCCCTTGTCCAACAGGAACCGGTCCTCTACCAAGGAACCATCCGCGAAAATATCGCATTAGGCCTTGAAGAAGAGGCGACCGAGGAACGGATCTACGAGGCCTGCCACCAGGCGAATATCTTTGACTTCGTTTCCTCCTTGCCAGATGGATTAGCGACGTCATGCGGTTCGCGAGGAAGTCTTTTCTCTGGTGGTCAACGGCAACGTATTGCAATCGCAAGAGCGCTTATCCGGCGACCTCGTCTGCTGTTGCTGGATGAGGCTACGTCTGCGTTGGATACCGAGAGTGAGAGGATCGTGCAGGAGGCCTTAGATCAGGCCAAAGATGGTCGGACAACGATTGCGATCGCACACCGCTTGTCAACTATCAAGCACTCAGACCGGATCTTCGTGTTGGTTGGAGGTAGCGTTCGGGAGCAAGGGACTCATGAGGAGCTGCTCCAGCGGCGGGGGATCTACTATGAGATGTGTCTGGGGCAGGCCCTGGATAAAGCGGCTTAATGCTGTCCGCGAGTGAAAGGCATATTGTATATATGATCGGAGCAAAAGGTACCGGAAGCTGGAGTGCTGAACAGGGTATGTAACGGTAATATAAAATAATCTCCTATCTCGAATGGTCCACTTGGAAATCACGAACATTAAACCTCTATGATATCGACACAGACTTTAGCCCCAAGAGTGAATTCCAGTATACATTCACGTTCATGGTTTGCGTGGTCTGTAAGGATGGACCTGTAAGCGTTAGGTATTTCGTAAGCTACCTGATCTCGACACTATTTCATTATCACTTTGTTTCAAGAATCTTTGTATTGAAGAGTGCTGTGAAGCCCGGAAAAACCTTTGTATGAGCTTGTCTCTACCAAGGCTTTCAACGTCTTACTGGTAGATTCTAGAGTCAATTCAATCAATGCCAATGTTCATTCTTCTCGCCTGCGCAGGTTTGCACACATGTGTTATATTTTGAAAGAATAGCTCTTGCACTGAATCAATTCTCCTTGATCTTCACAACATACTTGAGCGCACTGGCCTTTCCCTCCTTGAGGTTGGTTAATGCTGTCTGGACACCCTGCAGACCACCAGGGACGAGCTCATGCGGATGAGGCGTGAGCCAGCCTTCCCTAAGCCCAAGCGTGAAGAACCTCGACCAGATGTAAGCAAATTCCTGCTCATCCTTATGGGCCCTTCCGACATCAGTGAATTCCACCCGAATCTTCTCAGGACACTCCTCCGGCCCCACGGGACTGACAACAGACATAGCGCCGCAGTCCGGATCCAGCACCTGAGTGACAACACTGAAACTGGCCTTCTCACTGACAGCGTCCAGAGCATACCGCAGCTGCTTGGTGGCCTTCCGAATGGCAGCGACAACGGCCGATTCACCTTCGCGATAGTCGATGACCACATCACCCTTGCTCTCGTCCAGATGACTGTGGACGAAATCTTTTCCCCGTCCAGCGACACAGATAATCGGATGAATATCTGCTTTCTGTAGCAGCTTGATAGCGAATGTTCCCACGGCACTCGCAGCACCGTAGACTAGCACTCCACCCTCTGGCTTCTGAGCCCATGTCTTCTCTTTGAACCACGGTTCCGGCAACCCCAGGCGAGAGAAGAGTGCTAGCGACGCGGTCATAGCGGCCAGGGGGACGGTCGCGGCTTGCTCAAAGGAGATATTCTCGGGGATGTGGAATGTGGCGTAGGCTGCCCCGATGGCATATTCAGCGTAGCTGCCATGTGGAGCTGTGTAATCGTGATAAGCCGCGACCCGATCTCCGACTTGAAATCCCGAGACACCATCGCCGATCTCATGGACGTATCCTGTGATATCATCTCCCGTGTTGGCGCCATTGAAGTTTTCCATCCATGCTGGGAACTTCCAGTCTTTAGGGTTGGTGCCAGTCGTGACAACTTTGATCAGTATCTGACCGGCTCCGGGTTTGGGGATGGCCACCTGGCGAACACGCACATCCACCGCGTCATTTCGGACAAAAACTTGAGCTTCCTCCATTTCGGCAGTCGAATGATATCACCAGGCCGTATGGTAGCTGGGTAGGAACGTACAGATGAATGTGTCTTGTGATTGCTTTTCTCTTATATGGTGGACATGCTAGAATGTTCTGATTATGAATTATTGATAAGCTAGGTAGCTACAGTTTGTCAACGACAAGACCCAACATTATACTATCGTGGGAAATGCATCGATGTTTCGAGATCCCGCCACCTCGTTTAGATCTGCAGAAGTGGAATGACGATTTGCCAAGAGCGCGTTTGCCGTTCGATCTCAACCGAGCATTACCTAAATTTTTGACCATCTCCACACCCTCCACGGATGATTATTGGAGAAGAGGTCGCCGACCCGGACAACAATCTATTCTAGTGGGGAACTATCAATCACCTCGGCTACGGGCACGAAGGTGAGGTTGGGGGGTCAAAGGCAGCGTAGATTCTATATAGTAGACTGTTAGTGAGCATCATAGAGGGAGTTGCATTATGTGTACCTCCGGGGAAGGCGGAATTGGCGGAAGGGTGATATAGCAGTTGAAGGCAAGCTTCGTTTCTAATGTCGATATATCAAATGTTATAATCTTTCACAAAATCTTGTCCAAAAGACGTACCTATGTGAAGGACGTTCTGGCGCAGCTATACTTGATATCCTCTGTGGTCAAAGTAATACTACCTAACGGACATTTTAACACTAGTAAAGGCAAACGTTTTTATTGGATGTAGGAACTAATGGAAGGCAATATTCAAGTTCGCTTTTGGGTCACATACAGCATACTATTAAAACGAATACAAGAATCATTGCATGTCGATCTGTTACGTTGTCTCGGATTGTCGGAGAACCTGTCTAGAACTCGCTAATTCTATTCAATAAATTGCTATTAAATCATCACCATTCGGCTAGGAATACAAAGACACAGGTAGAGCTATATTATTGGAGCCCTGCCTGCGCAAGCCAAATGCGAAGTTAAAGACCATGTATCTTTTTACTTCCTGAGCATTAGCTATATAGATAGACCATGCACACAGAAGCCCTGAACCATCCAGCACTTTCGTATTCTCACCGAGCTCATGTAGGGTTATTACACCATATGACTGACCTACCACCTAGCATTCCTAACGATATAAGAGTTTAATCCAATCGCCAGATAAGCTGCCGTGGCTTTACAACTCTTACTTCTGGTTTTCCTGTAGTTCAGCCAGGATTGGCGCTTTGAGGCTAGCAGAAGCCTAGCATATATCGACCGCATACCTTGGAAGCGCTAGAAACTACCACCGGTGAATTGGCATAGTTCGCGCAGATGTAGAGATTAATATTCAATCAGATATCCTTCATAGAAGCCGTGTTGTCACGTCCAATCGTACTTTTTATATCCGCGTCGTGGGTAATGGATATGTTCCAGAATCTGACTCTGGCCCCAGTAGCATAAGTGGTACCATGGACAGACGGTCACCCCTGGCCCTTTTATTTCATCTGAACAGAAATGAAAAGCTATCCGTAGCATGCAGCCCGTGGTCAATCCGACCCGCTCCCGTACCACCCAGCTGGTCGATTGCCTGGGCAATGTGGCGTAAGAAATCCTTCGCGCCGACGTCGTAATGACAGCTGATCGTGAGGCCATCTTCTCTCGCATGATGAAACACTTCTTCGAACAGGAGAGGTGGATGATACGATTTCAGAGAATCCAGGCCAATCCCTACGATCATGGAGCGATAGGGAAGAGCATCGATGTAATGAGACATCGCAAATTTTGAGGCCATGTCTCTTAGAAATACATGATCCACTGAGGTTGAGCCTGTTCCCATACATTAGCCTGCCTGAAACCTTCAAAGATGCTCGTCTCTGAACATGCATTCGAGCTTTGCGCTACCTCCCAGCTGAGCCTACCGAAAGCCTTTAAACAAAGAATTCTCCGAGTATGCCCCTCGGGTGAAAAAAAAGGCTCACAAAACTTAAGGCGATACAGTCCTCGTCGCAAAAATGATGTCGAAGCCACCATACTAGAGTTCTAAAAGTCGGAGCATCTCTTCCTCTCCCTGACCACGGAGGAGGTGATACAAGCCTTCCACCCTTGAGAAGTCACTACAAGGCTTCCCATTTTGGAATTTGGTATGGCCATTGCATCTCATAGTTCGAGCGACCGTCGAATTTCTGCTATTTTGGTCCCTTCCATGTGGACGTGCACTTCAACTTCGAGCATCTTGTTGGTGATCCTATTGCCATAGGCTTGCAACAAGTTCCAACATTCACGGATGGTCGTGTTTGATAGGACTGGTCTTGATGAGCTCACAGCGATACCTTCGCATCAAGATATGTCTTGTTCGGTATGGAGGAAGTGGTGATCATGATCAGAAAGTGAGAAATATGAAGCAACCTATTTAAGTAAGCCCAGCATAATATACGTGTTTCATGCAACAGACGTTGGCTCCTTAAGTGATAACTAGTACTTCCTTCTCACCCCCTGCAGCCTTTGGACCATGGTGCAAGGGTTGGCGATTCTTATCAAAACAGGTAGATGCAAGTAAGCATCTACAGTTACGGTGTATATGAGACCAGCAAAAGAACATCGTACATCTTTGGCTGCTTACTCCCGTTGAGGTTACAGGGCGTGTTGAATGATATGGAGTATAGATGTTCAATCCATCATGTGTACATGCTTCATACGGCTGCTCTTGATTCAGGTTTCCTGTATGATTATGAATGAACTTAGAATATGGTTCTAGATGACAGTTTGCGGCGTGATGTAATTACTCTTTCTCCTCATGAACCCATCCCAGGATTCTCTCTGCCTTCTCTGTTGTGAAGAACGACTGATTACCCGACAGGTTGCCACGGATCTCTGCATCGGGATAATACTTCTTCGCAAGGTCTTGGGAGGGCGTATCCTGAGTCGTTGTCGGTGCGACAATATTGAAGACCTCACATCCGTTCAACTTCTCGCTCTTTTCTACCGCCAACAAACATGCCCTCGCTGTCGCCTGAGCACTAACCCATCCCCACAAACTCTTCACTGCGGAGCTATCCCAGTTCTCTGCGTGTCCTTTCTGCGCCTCTGAGCGTGATGCGACCGCGTGGATGCGCATACACGCGATGTTCATTCCGGGGTACCACCGCGCGAAGGCCTTCCCCTGCATCTCCGCTTCATCCTTCGCCAGGGCATACGCATCTGTCGGCCGCTCCGGCGCTTCTTCATCGATGGGGAAGTAGTCGAACTTCAGCGGTCGCGTGGCGTATTCGAGGCCGATCGCATTCACCGACGAAGCATAGCAGAACTTCTTAATGCCGAGTTCGGCGGCAGCTCGGAAGCCGTTGAATGCCGAGTTCACATTGTTATTGTGCACCAGATCATCGCCTTTGCCTAGGGGGTTCGGAATGGCTGCTAGATGGATAACGGCATCGCAGCCCATGAAGGCCTCGAGCGTGGCCTTGTAGTCATTCGCGGTGTCCGCGGTTTTCATCTCTGAATTCGGTGTGCCATCGTATTCGGTGTCGGTACGGTCGACCTGGACCGTTGCATGACCAGCTTCCGATGCAGCCTTCACCACAGCCCGTCCGACAGTGCCGCGAGCACCGGTGATTGCGATCTTCATAGCGAGGGATGTTCGTGTGGATAGGTTTCGGTGGTGCAGGTGGGGGCCTTGACGCGAAAATATGTTAGCAATAGAATGGAGTGACATGCTGGTATATGTCTATGAGGTGTATAATGCTGACCTTGTATTCGGCCAGTGACTTTGCCTGCTCGTTATCCTGTTCCATGACGTGAATATGATGATGGTGATGATGCCCAGCGCCGTTGATATGCCATGACGCTAACATGACGATCTGCACACTGTCTCGGTTGATTCACAGCTTATCATGTTCCTGTAAATGCTCTATTTTCAAGAGAAAGGCTAGGGGGAACGAAAATCCGAACGACTCGTTGAAAATCGAGCTGTAAACTGTCTTTCAGAGAGGCTGGGTAGATGACATCAGGGCTGGATGGATGATAAGGGTTGCAGCCCTTATCTCAGCCGTTCTCGGATCAATACTTGCTCCGTCATTGGCCCATCAAGAAAAGGCTGGCTGTTGGATCCATCTATCCATACCAACAATCCAACTTATTTCATAGACGGCGAGGTATAATAAGAAACTTCTAGAGATAAGAGTAGAGCCTTTTCAGCCCAGTTGCGAACAAGGTTGCTCCATTCGTGGCCAACTAACACCAAACCAATGAATGGCGGCCACGCCGGACGTCTATCTCAGCCTCAAACTACGCAGTGCTCCTCAATAGGGTCCGGCTGTTGGCGTAGTGCGGGCTGAAGAGACAATATAAGCACGGACACTGATAACAACCCAGTTCCAGGAAAGAGCAGGGTCGCATTGGAAGGAAAGTTGGCGGCAGGAAGGGAATACGAAGTGGCCGGTGATTGAGGCATTCTCTTCCGACACACCATAGGCAGTGAACATGGCATCAACTTATCCGTGCGGCGTGGTTGGCTGGAAAGTGCCAAAAATACCCGGAAGTCCTGCTCGTACCTTATCGCGAGATCCCTCAGCAATCGGTAAAGCATCCAGTAGCCAGTTTACCAATGAGGCAGCCTCGTGATACCTCTATCGACTCCGGGCCCTGCCAAGACAGCACTAGTGGCGCTCTCTACAGCAAAAGAGCCCTAAACAACAACACTCGTCTGCTGAAAGACTCTGCGCTCTATCGGGTTATGTCTCTGAAACTAGCCCAATCCCACTTCTGAGACCATGGTTGTCATGCCCAAGGAATGCTGTCATCAGAAACCTCGCCATCCCAGACACGCCTTTGTTTCTCTCCAGTGTATTCTATATTTAGTCGATTTACTATGTAGAACCTCAGTCTGTGTATTAATTGTATGCCCATGTACAATTATAGTAACGTTGTCGGTGGATCTTTCGAAGCTTTTCCCTTTTTTCTGGCAGGCCGATCGCCCCGTCAATATACCATTATATAGATTTTCCAAAGGTTTGAGACAAAGTGATTCACGCATCCCGCTATTTAAATATACCCTCTTCCTCTCTGTCCTCCTTCCTCTTTCTCTTCTTCCTTACTACACTCGTTCAACTTTTAGACTCCCTCGTGCTTAAGCATATTTAATACTTTTATCCTTTCGGATCTATAATCAGTCAACATGCGTCTCTCCTACGCCGTCTCTCTTTTGCCTCTGGCTGCTTCCGTTGGAGGTTTGTCTTTCCGGAACTATGGTGATATCGGGACGCTGGAACTGACTCCAGCTAGCTCTCCAGGTCACTTCCCCCAAGAAGGGTGAGGATGTTGACCTCTCCAAATCCTTCACCGTGAAGTGGGATTCCGTCGAGTATGTCTATGTTTCGTTTCTTTATCAACTACTGTAGCTACCGCCACGCATACTGACTGACGTACCAGTACCGACCCCTCTTCTTTCGATCTCTACATTGTCAACAACGCCGTCTACCCCAGCGTTGAGCAGAAGATCGCTTCCGACATTGACGCCTCCAAGGGCTCCTACGATGTCTCTGGCCTCTCCGACCTGACCAACGGGTACAGTTCCATTCCCGACCGAGAGTAGCAGCCGGAATCCACTAACAATTGGGTACAGCAAGGGCTACCAGATCAACTTCCTCTCCAACTCCGCCAAGAACAGCGGTATCCTCGCTCAGTCCCAGCAGTTCAACGTCGAGGGCTCTTCTGAGTCCACCTCGACAACCACCGCTAGTGATTCCAAGACCACCGCCTCCGCTACTGGCACTTCCACCGCTACTACTGGTACTGCCTCCTCCACTAAGACCTCTTCCTCTGAGACCACTGAGACCGTCTCCTCCACTGGCCTCACTACCATTACCTCCACCGGCACCCAGACTTCGACCGGTGTGAGCACTAACACTCTGTCGACGGCAGTTTCCTCCTCCGCCCGTGCCTCTGCTTCGGCCAGCGGTTCCGCCAACAGCACCTCCTCCGGCAGCACCCCCGTCGCCACCGGTGCTGGTGTCTCTCTCGCCGCGCCCGTCTCCGCTGCCGCCGGCCTCCTGATGGGTGCCTTGGCCCTCAACCTGTAAATTCGGTAAACCAGCCGACGACAAGATCCAGCGGGATCACAACGATATGCAGGAACGCGAATGTGGGAGATACGGTACATGCGAATCAGGGTTACTCCGATACATGATGTAATGGCCGTCGAGGGCGGTTGATGGTGAACGGAAAGATAGAATGTATATTGTATTCAATGAGTCTAATAGCATCTTGTCTATAGAATGCTCCTTACTTTGTCAATCCTTTAACCAATAGTGAAATGCAAGGGTACATAATGAATCATTTTAGACAAGTATTCTGCAGCCACGGCTTTCCCAGACTTCGCTGATCATGTTCTCGGCGAACTGCCGGATTGACTGCTGATCTACCGTCCTTTGTGGGTCAGGAACTGCATGGTTGTCATTTTGTCGCCACTGGGCTATTTGGCGTCTACACATACATGTACGATGAATAGATGATTATGCTTTTTGTACGATGGGAATGATAGCGAGCAGAGCTGTATCACCGGGCTAAGAATACCCTGGTGCATAACTGCCGCCACAACGGCGATGGCAGATGGGATGGGTAACAACTTGAACCCTAAGTCCCCACTACTGTGCAAGACAACGACCCCAGTCCGAGGACCCTTGCCTGATCTTGACATCTCCAATAGTCGACAGAGCGAGTGGGTTAGTGCATGACGTAGGGGATCCAGATTATTCAATAAAAATCCGATATAGCCGGCGGCTGGTCAAATCCGAGACAAGTGACTCGTCTCAAAGAATAGGCAAAGAGGGTTTTTGTTACCCAAAATGAAAGCCGAGCAAGTAAGACCAATGTCTCATTCCATACTCCATATTGGAGGAGTCTGATCGCAAAAAAAGAGAGAGTAGAAGCGGAAAAAAATGACCCACATCGGGTACCGAACTTGATCGCCGTATCGTAAATACGGGTCATGCAACTTTTCTTCTTTTCTTTATGAAAAAAAAAACATAAATAGAATAAAATAAAACCTCTCTGGTTTGGAACACTAGTGAGGCTTAGTCCTGAGACACTGGACTACTATCGAATTTTGTTCGTTTCACCTAACCACTGCCGTCACTGGACGTGAAAAGCCCTTAAATGACCGCTTTGGGATGCGATCCTTCTCCTGGTCCACCGAGACTCATAGATTAATACGAGCCATTTTAGCGTGGCCATGACTTGGTTGTATTGATTAATCTGATAACTGATTGGATATGTATCTCGTTTGTTGGACGAGATGTCTTATAGTAATTTAGATTTAATTGACATGAGCTTGCTCGCTGCATTGACATAAGAATTGCTAACTACGATTACCTAAATTAGAGAGTTTCTTAAGTATTATACAATCGAGAGATTGCTCGCTAGGTGGATTATTATTCATAGATTTTGTCATCACTGGATCAATTGCTGTTAGCCACTGGCAGAGAAGAGAGAGGGAAAAAAAAACAAGGAAAAACGGGGCTGCCACTTACAACGGTTGTTGGAGACTGTCTCGGCCAGGTGCCGTTGAGTTGACCCAGACACTGACACTCATGCCATTCACGGGGAATACCCCATACCCTGACGCATCGATGGTGACAGCGCCCTCGTGGCCCAGCATGATATCTGTCCACTCTTCATTGGCGTGCGTCGGTCCGACGTACATGCGCTTTTCTGCTGCCGCGCCGTTGCTCATAATGCAGGCCATCCCGGAAGGGTGGCGCGCGTTTCCGTAACGGACAAATCCTGTTTACTTGGTTAGATGCTGCGTTTGAATAAAACGTGGAGCATATTTATGGTCAAATTTTCAAAGATAATCAAAACTGAAAGAAAGATGAAAAAGAGTAAAAGGAAAACGCAAGTGCTCACCTATACAGTTGGCTTGTTCAAAGTAATCCTGCTGTTCTCCATAGGCGTAGAGCTTGCGAGCCCGCGTGAGAATCGGGAGTTTGCCCTTGCAGGCTCGCTTCAATGGCTTTTCTCCCCGAGTACCATAGAGGTCTCCGTAGAAGACGCACGGATGTCCATCTTTACGCAGAAGCACCAAGGCATATGCCAGCGGTTTGAAGTATTGTGCAACTGGGTTCTTCGATTTATTAGTCGATTGATAGGGTTCCGAAGTAATGTAGGATACTCACTTCAAGCATTTGCCCGGGTACCTTAATGTTGTCAGTACAATCCATCCTAGAGAAGAATAAAAGTCCACTTACCGTGTCATGATTCGAAACAAATGTCTATATGGAAGTATTGTCAGTATGGTAATTCCTTGCCGCCTCTGCTATAGCCACTCACCAAAGCGTTCTCTGGTTTGCTTTGCACCAAAGTACCCTTGAATATCTTGCGAAGATCGCCTCCCTTCGTGTACGATGTCCTGCACAGGTTCACAACGAGAGGCACATCAACCGCTGTCACCGAATGATCCATCTGCTCAAGATATCTCAGGAGGTCTTTCAATTCTCCTGACCAGTATTCACCAATGACAAACAGATCCTTGTTAGCAGTCTTGCGAACATGTTCAATAAACTCCTTCTGAAAGCCAGCAGAAAAATGCTTCGCGGCGTCCAGTCGCATGCCACTCAGAGATAGTTCATT